ACTGGACCATGGCCCCTGTTTCGTCCCCAACACCAAGTACATGCCAGCACCTTTGCTCAAACTCCGGACGAGAGGTAAATGGTCCTGGTCTCGACAGCTCAGTCGGTTGTCGGGTCGATTGCTTCATCTGCGGGTTGATCTAAACCTCCTGCTCTTTGCTGATTAAAGCCGAGGGCGGGTGCAAGCGTGCACAAGGACAGTCTTAATGTAACTATATATACATATATACATATATATATATACATATATCCAGGCCTTTTGAAAGACAATAGCAAGAAGCTGGGGTGTATGTATGTGTGTGCACAAGAAATTCAAAAAGACTCGAGCAAGTGTGGCTGCAAGGGGTATGAAACGGGCACTCATCGGAACGACTGAAACTCGTTCTGCCGTTCAAAAGTGTCTCAGTGGTACGAGTTAGTGCCATGTCTCTTCCAGAAGTCCTGTCGTCCTCGGGCGGCATGTCGACGTAAAGCAAACAACAAAGACCGCGCCAGCGCTCCTGTTGACATGAGGGCAATTAGTGCGTACAGACGTCCGAACACCAACTGCACATACATATTGCCAGTCATATTGCAAAATTGATGCTGGATGCATGGGTCAGAAATGCTTTGCAGGAGTGCCAAGCTCCCCCATGATGCATGGCAATGAGCAAACTTTAAGAGAGGCCACTGCAGAAGCTAGCCGCGCCGCCATACGTTCAAAGACCATGCAAGGGTGAAGCAGAAGTATCCGGCTCGGTTGACGCTGCACGACCGCAGCGACAAGGCCATGCGTTTTTCATTGCCCAGCTCTTTAAGGTTGTCTGCAGCTGTAACGCACAGCCGTCACGAAGAGCAGACGTGAATCAACCTTAAGCGGGACAGCCGGTTCGAGAGATGAAGGCATGGACCGGAGGGAGACTGGGCGCGATGGCAGCCAATCACGACGCCTTACGAACCTTTAGGCCGTTTAGGTCTTCAAGGCGCAGACTGTGCGGAGGTCTTCTGTAACACAGCATCTGCACATCTGAGGCCAACATGCCCAATCAGGATCGCACCGTTGAGGAGCTGGGAGAATTGCTCATTTCAATTCCGAGGCTTGAAGACAGCATGACAGTCCGAGAACGTGACCTGACGTCTTCCATGCCGCCAAAATCACCCGGCGAAGCATGCATTTGATACGTAATTATAGCAAATGTAGATGTCTTGTATGGCTTACCTTCCAGAGGAGAATGTTCTCCACTGCCAGTCGCGCTGTGCTAAGACGGCTGGCTGCGCTCACTTCACGCTGCTCGGCACGACAAATTCCTCCATGGGGGCCTCAGAAGCTGAATCTGAAGTGGGCCCAAAAGCCCAAGCCGGCATTGCCAGGTATTGGCCGAACCGTGGCTGCCACCTTCAGAGCATGGAGGCTGGAAACCCAGCTTGCGCCAAGGAGGTTCGGGGTTCCTGCTCTGGAGAAGTAGGTCCCCAGAAACCACGAGCAGCCTCATCGGAGATGCGTCTGGCAACTGCAAGCTGCGAATCTTAGCAAACCCCACGTGCTGATTCTATACGCGCTTGTGGAAAGCTTTGATGCACCAGGCTCGGCCTGAGTTTGCCTCCCGGGTCACCGCTGGTCCTCCAGACTGCCAAGAAGGCGTTAGGCCCTCCGGCGACAATTTGAGCAACCTTAGGGCTGGCACCTTTTGCTCAATGCCCTTCCTTTGATCGATGTTGCACAAGAGCGGGTCCACTGGATTGGCCCTGAAAGCTCAAAGTCAGCATAGGGAAAATGCGGGAGTCAGGCACTGCATTTGGTCGCAAGCATGTCCACTTTCTTTCAATGCCCGCTCACTGCACGCCAGAATGAAGACCTGCTTCCACGAAAACACCAAGTTCGAGCCGGTGAACATGCCAGGAGCCTTGCCCGTGCTTCCTTTGGGCATACAGCTCCCGTGCAATCATAAATGCGTGTGGTGCCATTGAGCATCACTTGCGAAGAATAGTCCCGAACCTCTACCCGGCTTGTATCGTCGCACGCTAGCGAATCTGCGGGTCATGATATACGAGCCCCCAGCCTCTGACCCTCGCCTCATTCTTGCGCAAGATACTAAGACTCCCTCAGCGATGAGGTCCAAACCCTCGAGTGTAACTAACAACGTCCCACATAGACCCAAAGCAACTCGAGGAGAGCTTGCATTCTTCCTCCAGAAGGAAATATATATATATATATATATATATATATATATATATATATATATATATAGGGGAGGGGTGTAGACCTCCCGAGTCAATTCGCAAAGCCTCGAAATCCGATGACAGCTGGGCCCCTACCCCCATCCTCGTCCCAAGAGCTCCGTGAGGACAGCGGCGCACGCAGGTGGGCTCGGTCTTGGAATGCCAACAGCGCTGCCGCCAGACGGAAGGCGCCCTGGAGACAACAGGAGGAATAATAATAATAATAAGATAGAAAGAGAGAGAGAGAGAGAGAGAGAGAGAGAGAGAGAGAGAGAGAGAGTTGTTTCGAAGCTGTGAAGTAGGGGGAGCGGCTTAGAGAACGGTCTGCTTGCGACTGGGGGCGAAACAGCCGTACAGCGCTTTTGAGCACTGACCGCCAAGCACAGAACCTGTGGGACGAGGCGCGAGGCCAGGGGGTTGCTCTTCAGTTCAGGTAAAGGGGGTTTTAACGGTGCAAGCCGGCGCCTCGAACCAACCACAGGGGGAAAGTGTCACACCGAGACCGCTCCAGTGCGCACACGTGCGCGAGAAGGGGCGCGGACCGCTCCTTCTTTGGCTGCGTGCAAGCAAGAGAGAGAGAGAGAGAGAGAGAGAGAGATAGATAGAAAGAGAGAGAGAGAGAGGCCTCACCAGTGCGCCTGCGCACGCGGAGTAGGTAGGTAGGTCGAGACCTGCACCCAAGAGCTTTGACCCCTCTGTTATAACACAGCAGCATATTTGTGCGAGGTTGCGAGCACTTCTCCTTGTGGCCCGACGGTGGCTGTCACATTCAGGATGCCAGTGCCTCCGAGGCCGCCTCTTCTGCTGAGTTATAGAAGTACAACTAGTAGTACTTGATGTTTTGTTGCGTCTGCCTGACTTTTGCGGGGAATTACATCTTCCTTTTCGGTGGGGTCTTGGGGTTCTGGCGTTCAGGGCTCTTCTTTGGGTGCGAGTGTCGATGCTCTCTGGGGAGGTTACGGCACGGCACATCATCTCCGGGCCTCGCTTCTTGGCTTGGTGTCGGAGCAAGGGCAGCGGGTTTCACACTCTTATCATTTATTCGTCACTGGTTGTGTGTGCTATGTTGCAGGCGAGCCCGTGAAGTAGTATGTCTGTTCTGAGAGGCTTTCAAGGGTAAAGCTGCTTCGGTGTTTTCGCGAACCTGGATTGAGCAGCGTCCGGGAAGCCCAGCCAGGTAACTGCATGAAGTCCTTCCCGACGAGGCTGCTGCTCTTCGGCCTGTGCTCTGGGACGTGGTTTGCCGATGCCCATTGCTGACTTGTCGTAGCTAAGGTTTGATGAAACCGCCCTGGCTCACCTCGAAGATGAGGACTACTTCCTGCAAATCAGAGGGAGGCTATGTTTGCGGATGACCTGTTTTGGAACTGCAAGGGCGGGGCAGAATCAGATCTCGCTGTCTTGTGTCCTGGCTGTTGGACACAGGGCGGTGATACTTGTTGGTTTCATCCTGTGACCAGTTCTCTAGCTGGTGTCGTGGTTGTCATGAAGGCAGTCTTTTCTTGGTGATCTGACGCAGTCTCTTCTTGGTGATCTAACCTGTAAGAATATCATGGCAAGGTTCCAGAACCTTTGAGGAGTATGCGGGGCTTGTGTGAAATTTAGGTTCAGACCTTTGTCATCCAAGGAGACGGCCGACGACGACGACGGCGACGGCGAGAAGACATTGGACGAGCCAGAAAGCGATGTTCTCGGCGCCCCGGATGTCTTCAGCCCCTTCCATGCGACCCGAGAGCCCACTCATCCGAGGGCTGACATTCCACCTCAAACCTGTCTGTATGCCGTACTGCACTTGTTTGACAGGCGTCGCCAGCAGCGACCCTGAGAGCGAAGCTTGGCCAGAGTGCTGGTCATGTCTAACGTGGCGGACGTCATCGTGCTTCCCTTGTTTAACGGCTCGGAACGTCGTGTTTTCGTCGGTCAGGGCTTCGGGCTGATCGAGACTTACTACTACTGTACTACTATTCTACTATACCTTGATTATTGGGGGGGGGGGCTGATCGAGACTTCTTGCAAAGACCTGCGTGGGCTTCCGATGCCGAGCCCAGAGCCGAACCTGCTCGAAGCCTTGAGCCATGGAGCGCCACAGCACCCCGGGACTCCAATATCCCTTAATTTAAGGTATATACCTTCAATCATATTCGGCATCCCACTATAATTTATGCAAGGTATATTCCCTAATCAACTGATATCGGAGTCTCTGGGCACCCCAAACGATCAAGGACCTGGTGCCACAGCCTCGGGCAGTTGCTTTGATCCTTGCGGCTTCGCAGTACGTCGTGGAGGGCTTCTTGGAGGCAGAGGACGCTGGGCACCCCAACTCTGCCATGTCGGGCATGTTTGATTCGACAGAGCTCTCCTTGCGAAAGCACGAACTACTCAACACTCACTCTCAATCCAGCCACTATCTTAGATCTCTGTCTCTCTCTCTCTCTCTCTCTCTCTCTCTTTCTGTCTATCCCTCTTTCTATCTATCTATCTATGTATCTATCTATCTCTCTCTCTCTCTCTCTCTCTTTCTGTCTATCGCTCTATCTATCTATCTCTCTCTCTCTCTCTCTCGCTCGTTCGCTCGCTCTTTCTCGCTCTCTTGTTTTTCGTTCTTTGTTTATCTATGTATCTCTCTCGCGCTCTCTCTGTGTTTCTACATGTCTCTATCTTTCTCTCCAAAGACATGTGTATGTATATCTGTACCTGTATCTATATAGATGTGTATACGTGCATATTTACATGCAGCATTGTGCTCGCAAAGTCGCTAATAGTGTGCATCAGCCAACATCAGCCGATCAGCCCATCAGCCAGTTTAGCGTTCGCGGGGGGTGGGGGGCGGGTCGGCAGATCGGCGTAGCACGGTTTGGCGTCCAAAAGCCGCACACGCTACACATCCGTGTCTGTATCCATTTCTATGTCTATGTCTATATTCTGTATCATATTTATACGTATATCTATATCTATATCTATCTATATATAAATAAAGATTACACATCTTTTCGTACTCTTATATATAGCCACACACACACACACACGCACACACACGCTCACGTTTGTACACGCAGAGAGAGAGAGAGAGAGAGAGAGAGAGAGAGAGAGAGAGAGAGAGAGAAGATGAGAGAAGGGAGGGGGCGAAGACTCGCAAAGCCCCGAGCAAAGCAACTGCTACAACAGCCACCGTGCAGGAAGAGGTACAGCAACGAGAGGCAGAACCCAGTGAAGAAGACTCCCAGTGTGCAGTGGCAAGTGTAACAAGTGCAGCAGCATATGCAATGCCACCGGCTACCACGCGGGGGAGACAGAGAACCACGCGGGGGAGACAGAGAACACGCACAGTGAAAGCACCGTGGACTACCAGCAGTGAGTGACGTGTGGGGAGTTTATCCGGTTGCGAGACGCAACCTTAGTTCTTCAAAAATGGGGGAACCGACCAGCGTGATGATGTGCTTTTGTCGGGTTCCCGTTCCTTGCCGGGGGAATGCATGCCGTTTTTGTCAGCCAAGTTTTAGCTCAAAGCAGCCACCAACCTGATGCAACCAGCTACTAATTCAACACTATACGCCGCCACTCTGCGGCGTCTGTTCCGAACGCTACCGCTAATTCAGTGCTCTGCTCATAGTCCAACACAACCTAAAAAGGGGAAATTCAACCGGCGCTTTTGCAACGGGGGGCTCCTACCCAGAAGTCGTTACTGCTTTGGTCCTTGCTTCTTGTTGTGGCCACATATGACGCGGGGAGCACCGCCCAGTACAAACTCCACTTGCATCATACTGGTACTGTGTTCCTGCATTGCTTCGTACTCAGTTGTTGCTTGATGTAGTGGGGGATAGCTTCCAGCGCCGAAGTAAGGGGACGTGCGCCTGTCGAGGGACCCAGGATTGTGCTTTAATGAGCGCGGAGATGAGGCCGGGACGCGCGTTAAAGTACAGGGAGGGTTGGGTTACCGAGACAGGCGGTCGACACCTTTCAAAACCGACCGCTTTGGGCACAAGCCCCGCGCAACTCAGCCCCAATGCCCCTTCCACCTTCGTATGGGGGAAGGGGGCGCCTAGGCGCGGGCTTCGCTGAAGCCTAACCCCTGTGAAGTGAAGTGAAGTGAAGTGAAGAGAAGAGAGAGAGAGAGAGAGAGAGAGGGTACTGTAAGACGTAGTACCTGCTTCCCAGACCCACTGTTTGCAAGACTCTGGTCCCTCTCGACTCGGGCTTGTCGGGTCCCAGGAACAAAAGCAATCAGATATAGGCATGAAAAGGGTTTAGGGTTTAGGGTTTAGGGTTGCATGAAAAGGGTCGTGTCCCGAGTCGGGTGCCAGGAAGTTCTCTCCCTGCTTGCCTGATTCACTCCGAACACACTTGAGCCCAGTGCGACACTGCCTGCGACCTGCCACGACCTGTTGGTTGATGAGGACCCGCTCACTTGAATAAAGCCCCTGAGTCACAGGCGGCACACACACACCTTTTGTAAAAACCGAGCTCATCCGTACCAACTGATGGATGCGGTAGCGCACCCGCGCGGGACGGGAGGACTTCTCCCGTCCTACACCCCAAGCAAAGCAAAGAGAGAGCGAGAGAGCGAGAAAGAGATGCACGCACACTTTGGAGCTTCCCCAAGTGACCGACTCAATTGACTCACAGAACTCTCTAGGACTTCGAGCGGGAGGTCCACGGCTGCAACATCACCACCGTGAAGGCCCAGTGTCGGGCTCCCAAACGCCAGGCTGTTGTAAAGCTCTTGATCCGCCTTTGTCAGGCTCTTGAAGACCTGAAGTCACTCCGAACTTCAGTCTCAAAGATGTGAGTCTGCACTTCATCTCTCTTGAAGCTATGTGAACCTATTGGGTCCTCCCCTATCTGAAAAAGTCTGCTATTGTAAGTGCCTTCAAACCTCCGGTGAATGTGCTCCCAAGCTCGAAGTGCAGCCTTGTCGCTCAGGAGGCAGAGTTTGAGCAACTCCGGCAGATGATCAAGTTTCTGTGATGACCTCAGGATTTCAGACTCGTGATCTGATATGTCTTTTTGTGTGCGAACGTCCGCATAATGTTTATAGGTGGTGTACACTGGAAGCCTATAGTTCATTGCGCGAAATCTTGCCACAAAGGCGCAGGGAGGAGCTCTGTCCATCGGATGAGCCACACCACCCCAAGGCGCATTGTCTTCTTTCCAAGGGTGCGCACAGGTCGATGTTCGGATCGAAGGTGTGATTGCTGCTGCGGTCCCATGCAGGGTCACTGATGTTCTTGCCGGTGGGCTATGGCAACCTGCTCTGAACGGTTACGAAAGTGCATGTGCCGTAGAGGCAATGTGTACCCCGCAGCCAGAGATTCTTGCAGAGCAGCATGTATACAAATCTTGCTCGTGAAGACTCTTTGGCGTGACAGCGCCAGGTCCCGGACCCGCTAAGCACTGATTGTTTGGTGCCGGACGGCCCCTGGGAGCAACGCCACGCGGCACGGGGGTAGTGACCCAATGGCTTTGACAGGTTTTTTAGAAGTATTCACGGCAGGGCTCTGCAGTTTGTCGTTTATGATCCTAGGCGCTGAGCACGGGTATGTCGGGCATCCACGGGCTTTGCTGGCTCACCGAAGAGAGAGCTCTGGGTTGGGCTTCGAACTCCATACGCCACATCGAAGGTTTATGCTTTACGACTCTCAAGTGCGAAAAGTGACTTTCGACAGACCCCACACGTTGTTCGACCAGGAGTTGAAGATGCCAAAGTCCGAAAACGCCGCACTCCCGAGACGCTCATAACAAAAGGTCTACGGCTCATGGCTTCCCTCAAACAAGGCAAACTTTGAGGGCCCGGCTTTAGCCCGGCTCCACACTGCAGATGGAGATGGGGACCTCGGAACACCAGAACAGATAAGGAGTGCTGTCGCGGATGGCCGTCATCCAGCGGATCAAGCTTGAGAAGGAGCCCCGAGGATTCTAGGTTGCCTTCCCCCATGGCTTTGTGCTCGGGGCTCACGGTCCTACTGCTTTCATGTTTCTGAAACTCCGATTGTCCCAGAGTATAGTGGGCTTTCTCACGTTCAGGCTTCCCCAGCCCATGACTTGTTCCGGCAACGAGCATTCCGTGGTGCAGGAGGGCGCCCCATCCTTGCAGGAATGTCACTGTCCCGAGCCACCGGGCTTGTAAGACTGAGGGCTTGTGCAGGGGCGTCCCATGTTCATTGGTTGCCCAAGCTTTTGACGACTTCAGAACGGCTTGCCTGGAACTTGTTTTGCTCAGTTTCACGAACCGGCAGGGAACCCCCGTGAGCGATTCAAAAGCTACAGTTGTGCAGTTACGGCACAGCACGGTCTCGCCGAGGCCTGCTAGCGAGCTGCTGACCACTTCGAAGCTCCTGGAAGTGGTGGAGAATCAGGCCATGGGCCAGAAACATGAAACTCAGGGAGCCTCGACCCCCCGACCTGTGCCGCGAGGACATCGCGCGAAGCCCTTTGATGATGCGCCCCTCGGCTTGCCGTCGTATTGGGGCAAGACATCGGAGTTCTGGTTGGAGTGGAGGTTTGCGGTTTCCGAGTATGTGATAGATAGCAGATAACTTCAAGTGATGTCTTCTGGTCATGTGCCTTGGTGTTGGTTGTGTCCAGTTGCAGTGCTTCTGTTCAGGCGACGCGGCAAGGCAGGTCTGCACGGAGAAAGGCCAAGACAGCGGCGTCAGCCTTGCGGTGACCCGGCTGACACTGACATCAGCTGACTCGGACCAAGGTACACTTACTTTCGCCACAACCCTGAATCTCAGAAAAGGTCCGAATACCAAAACCAAGAAGCCCTTTGGATCCAGGTGGTGTTCAACAACGCTTGCTCTGTTGGGAAACGCGGCTACTGCTGCGACTTGACGTGGGTCTTCTTGTGTTCCGCTTCAGGATCTGTGGTTGAGTGTAGGAGACAAGGTTAAGCCTGCCCGGGAAAAGTAAGACTGCTGAACTATGCCTGCTGCAGGAGCTCCATTGAGCCATTAAGTAGCAGGAGTAGCAGAAACAACAGCAGCAGCAGGAGTGGATGTCGTCCTCATGAGACGTCGCAGTCGTACTCGTCGTCGTCGTTGCGGCCGTCGTTTCTGTCGTGCCAAGTACGAATTTGTGCGTGTTGCGGTCTAAATTTTGGATACGCATATTTTGAAGAATCCCTTATCTCCTGAAAGTCGCCACTATCTCCAAGGCGAGGCCCGCGACCTCCGTTGGTCTGCTGCGCCGCTGAGGCTGCGAGGCGATGAGCTCGCAGAGGCCCCCAAAGTGGCGAAGAGTTTCAGGGTCATCTTATAATAAGGATCCTACTATTTTGGGTACTATATTAGGGTCCCCTATATATATTTTTTTTGGGGGGGGATACCAAGTATCAGCTAAGTCTTGTCTTGGGGCGCACGGGCTTCAGGCTTTAGGGTTTAGGGTAATAGCGCGAAGAGTCAGGGGAGGTGCCGCAGGGGATCCAGCGCACTAAAGGGATGTTACTGGGACAGACCGTGAATTTAGATCTGAAACTCATGGTGATCTTTTCTCACATTAGATTTAGAGCTTTACCGTGAAGCTTCTCCACAGTGTTGGGCTGTAATCTCAACTGCGGTAAACCTGGAACCGTCTTGAGACTTCGAAGGACATTCGGCATCGGAGTGTGGGTATCGATGGGCATGCATGGTCATGCCGAGTTCCAGGTGAAAGCATTCTGGCAGGCATTTGTTTCTGGAGACTCCAAGTTCTGGTTGATCTGACACAGCCGAGTGATATGGGGCATGCGCGAATTGGGCTATTCTTGGAATGCGCAAACGATGCCAAAAAAGCTTCTCTGACCATTCTGCCCCGCACCGAAGACTCCCAGAGAAGGTCACATACGCGTATATGCAGCAGTTTGTGTATGCTCATATATAACAATCACAACAGAAACATATACATGAACATGCAAATATGCACATAAGAATATTCATATTCATATTGATATATATATATATAGATAGATAGGTAGATATAAAGATATAGACATAGATGGTGAACTATTGAAACATGGTGCGAAGGAGAGCCTGGTCCACCTCATGGGCCTTGCGGAAAGCCGCCTGTCTGAGGGGCATTTCAGAGTGTAAGGTCTTCAGCTTCCCCTGTTTGGAAGGGTAGGGGTGGCAGTGGTGGTAATATGCCACTGGCTGCTGAAGCTGAAGCCTTCACATTGGGGGGATTTTGTCGTTTCGGGAGGTCGGAGTTCCGGATAGAACAAGATGAAGTTGGGACGGCCTCGGGGTGGAGTAAAGTCTTTGCAATGCTCCAGTTCGTGGGGCTGCACTTCGGGGGAGGGATTCTATGTGGTGCCAAGGCATTCTTCACATCTTGAGGTAAGTCGGGAGGGCCGTTTGCTTGTTTTGCACGACAAGGCAAGACGTCCGTCAGCACCGTCTTAGTGGATTACTGGCAGCCGAACCCAAAGTTGCTGAGTCTGCTGCCTATAATCAGCCTGTTGGGCTTAGCGCACGGGAGCGGATTCCTTATGGGAAAGGCCTCCGGTCCGACAGCGAGAAGATCTACTGGAAGTTCTTGCGAAAGCTGGAGGTCCGGCCACAGCTCGCCAAGACGCACATGTTTCAAAGCACATTCAAGTAATTACAATCGGCCGGCTTTGACAACCCGAATCAGCCACCCACGGAAGAAGGTTCCGTGTGGCACGACATGGCAGTTTCGGGCTTGGGCCATTGGGGAGTCTCTACAATTCCAAGCTCGAACCCTTCAGGGTTTGGTCATTGCGCTTTTGCCCTGGCAAGTTTGTGGTTTATGACTGCTGCTCTTGTCTCGCATAGAGATCGAAGCCTGGCGAACTTGCTCTGGATTCGAAAATGCCTTCGAACCATCAATAATAACTGCTCCCGATACCAGAGTCAACACAGCATGCATTGGCGCGGCACGCTGCAGCAGGACTGGAAATGGCTCTCCAACGAGCAGAAGGTGATGTTTTACAAGCTGCACCCACCAGGGAAAAAGGGAGGGCCAAACCCAGCAATTGGATCCTAAGTCTTCGCCCAGTGAACACCATCTGCAGACCCTTAGTCCGGTAGCCCTCAAGCACTGCACATGCTAGCTGCCGTAATAAGGGGTTGGATTTCATGACTACTCCTCTTCCAGGTACATCATCTACTATCATCACGTGCGCTTGGCCATCGAACGTCAGCAGCGGCCCTGCCACGATTTACGTTTCCCTTTCTGTTGGACAGTTTGTGGTTCACCCAGGGAGGCTTCCAGGAGAGCCCAATGTTCTTGGGCTTCGGCCTTTCAGAACAGGATTCCGATTCAGGCGTGGGTGATGCAAGTTCGGATTCCGACGGAGGCCTCTTCCCAATGCTACGCCACACTAGGCCACTGGGAATTCAAGATGTTCATGTTCGGTCCATCGGAGTTAGTAGTTTGGAGCTCCAACAGCTGCAGCACAAGGGACGGATTGAGTACTCAACTTGCAGACTTCCAAGGAGAGAGGAAGCTTGTTGAATTCCGTAGAGGCCTGTCGTCCGTCTAGTCTGTCTGCCAACGGGAGGGCGGCATCCTGAGATGTTCTTGAGGTGTAGCACTGCAGCAGGCAATAGGTCGAACGAATCCCTGCACTGCGGACGAGCTCCTTGTTGAGTTGGCAGTTGTACAGTTAGCGCAAGGCCATCTTAAGAAATCGATTTGGGCTTGCATGGGTTGAGAACAGAGAGGATCTCAGCAGCTGCATCTCAAGAATTCGTATGCAAACATTGTCCACTGACTAAGCCTCGATTCATTCTCGGCTCTCGGTGCGCGTCTACTTGTAGTGAATGTGCCAGGTATTGCATGCTGAATCCCGAGGACCTCACATCCTGTGAGGACTCGCAGATAGGTACTCACAGCTGGGACGTGTTTCTTTCCGGGATGTTTCTCACAGTCACAAGGTGAATCACAATGTGTGTGTGTGTGTGTCTGTAGGTTGACAAATATTCGTATAGATACTATATATGGGTGTATCTTTTATATATACGCACACATGCATGTTTCAATTTGTTGATTTGTTTCTGGTAGACAATACGACACAAATTAAGAAATTGATACATGTATGCTGCCTACACAAATGTGGATACCCGGGCCTGGCTAGCGAGCGCAAACCCCTCAGTCGAGACACCCTGACACATTCAACCGCGAGCTCTGCGGGATTTGGCCTGGAGCCGGGGCTTCCAGATGATGAACTAATGTAGGGGCCCTAATAATGAGAATTAAGAGAGGGGCCTTACTAATTAGATTAGACCAGAACTATAATAAGGAACCCCCAAAACCCTGTACCAGTCTCTCCCGACAGTTTGCCCTACATGTCCCTGCCACTGGGATTGTGTTGCCATCCAGCCGGGGATTTGCAGCAAGACCTGTGGTTAGGCACTGAGCCCCGTGTCTTCACCCTCGTCGTCGTAGCCGTAGCCGCAGCAGGAGCAGTAGTACCAGTAGTAGTAGCAGTAGTAGTTGCTGTTGTAGTCGTCGTAGTCGCAGTAGAATTAGAAGTAGAAGTAGAAGTAGTAGTAGTAGTAGTAGTAGTAGTAGTAGTAGTAGTAGTAGTAGTAGCAGTAGCAGTAGCAGTAGCAGTAGTAGTAGTAGTAGTAGTAGTAGTAGTAGTAGTAGTTGTTGTTGTTGTAGTAGTCGTCGTAGTCGTAGTCGTAGTCGCAGTAGAAGTAGTAGTAGTAGTAGTAGTAGTAGTAGTAGTAGTAGTAGTAGTAGTAGTAGTAGTAGTAGTAGTAGTAGTTGTTGTTGTTGTTGTTGTTGTTGTTGTTATTGTAGTCGTCGTAGTCGTAGCCGCAGTAGTCGTAGTCGCAGCGGGAGTAGTAGTAGTAGTAGTAGTAGTAGTAGTAGTAGTAGTAGTAGTAGTAGTAGTAGTAGTTGTAGTTGTAGTTGTAGTTGTAGTTGTAGTTGTAGTTGTTCTTGTTGTTGTTGTCGTATAGTAGTACTACTAGTAGTAGCAGTAGCAGTAGTAGTAGCAGTGGCCGCAGTAGTAGTAGTAGTAGTAGTAGCAGCAGCAGCAGGAGTAGTAGTCGTCGTCGTAGCAGTAGTAGGTAGTCGTAGTTGAAGCAGCAGTCGGAGCCGCAACCACTGGGACCTACGATGAATTGTGGTTGAAGTCGTCCCGAATCCGATTCCTGCACGTTCAGGGCGGCTTAGGAAGGACTTCATGAGGTTTCGTTGGTTCGGACCAGGACCCGATGAACCTCTACTTCTCCATCAAGGTGGCCACTCAGCTGTGACCTGCCGTGCCAGGCTGTGTGGTGTTCCTGAGTGCAGCAAAACGTCAGCTTGAAAGCTGCTTGTGCTAACACAGAGGAACCCGGAGCTGAACCCTGCATCGTGATATGGGGATGTCGTCGTCTCGTTGTGCTTTCTTCCACCCTCCTACACTCTACACGGGTCGAGCACGCAAGAATTTGCTCTGGAATCTGGAATTGCTTATGGATATGGATGGTAGTATTCAGAATCAGGCCCCGGTGTTGCATCAGCTAGGCTAAAGTTCTAGCTCATGCCCGCCAGTCTCCCAGTGAAGAGCTCGTATTGTCGATATGAGCGTGCGGATTCCGTAACTCGGGGTCGTGATTCGGATCTTGGAATCCATACATTTGAAGGTCCAGGTCTTACATGTCGAATCTTGCGCCTGCCGCCGCCCTCCAAGGTCCGGAACGAAATTCTGCAGTCACATCGTGCCCTCTTCGAGTACGGAAGTTGTCTGCAGACTCTCGGCGAACACTTGAGGATTTCAAAGTGCCCACACACGCACGCACGCACGCACGCACGCACGCACGCACGCACGCACGCACACACACACACACACACACACACTGACTCACACACACGCACACACACACACACACACACACACACACACACACACACCTGCGCTCTCTCTCTCTCTCTCTCTCTCTCTCTCTGTGTCTCTCTCACTCTCTCTGGCAGGGCCCGCAGGTGCTTGCAACATCCCCCTTTGGACCGGGCCTGGGCCGCCCGACAGCCGTAGATGTCGATTTCATATTGCCGGTGATGGGGACTGTGCGTGGGGAAGACGTCATGTCAAAAGCTTTCGAGACTCATGGGTAGGTGCAAAACATGGTAGGGTTGTGATAATGCTACACAGTATTGTTTCTCAATCCGTTTCTTTGCAGACCGCACCCAGACACCAACATCCACAGCATAGACAAACGAAGTACCATGCACTGAACCGAAAGTAACCGAAAGTATCCCCCCGAAAGTCCACCTCGCAGTCTTCGTGCTGAGCCTTCACCTCTGGAAAGCAATCGCCGAAGACTTCGTCATTCACAACTTCCGACATATCACATGTCACATGACGTAAGCCTGAACTTAGGACATAGGAGCCCGTTCCATCCTAATCTGTCACGCCGTCCCAGCTCCCAGATTTCCGAGGTTCGGCACCCGAACGATTGCTGCCACGGTTCGCGGGAGGCTGCGCCCCTGTGCTGGTTTGGGATGCTGTGACTTCGTGCTCCGCTTGTGGAGCGTTCATGCCTGTCTTGAACTCAACATGAGAAACACAACGTGAGTCAGACAACTTCCTCTGATTCTGAAAACCTCAACCTTTGGTTCAAGACGACGCGACTCCAAGTCCATACTTTGCTTGCTTGACCTTCTACCATGCAGATTAAAGAACCGATGCCTGAACTCTGCATCGCAGAGCTCCCCTTTTTCCACACGAGACCACCCCTCGACTCCCAAAGTCGCTGCCGGAGGCCCGTGGCTGCCAAAGTGCGAGGCTCGTGTGTCCCCTAGATTTCAGTGTTTTGGCCTGCAGGATTCAGGGACTCCATTTGAGATTCATTGTCAGTGCGAAGCATCTTTGAGAGAGAAAGGACGGCTTGGGTGTGGGATTTCTGTCAGGGCTTGCGGCGTCAGGTTTAGTTTCCTGAGTTCCGGAGCTTTCTGGTTTCCGGACCGGGCCGAAGTTTCCATCTTGGTGTCATAGCCTTGGACCCAGGGATGTGCAGGCAGAAGCCCATCGCCTCCCATCCAATTGCTGTGCATAAAACTCTGCATCAGGATCTCTGGAAACCACAGCCCCAAACGCCGAGTAAGGTGAATAAGGCAAGTATCCCGGAAGCCACTCGCAGGCATTGCCGGCATTCTCTTTCGAAGAGCCGTTCATATCCTGGGCACAGGGCCGCTGGGCTTGTCTGAGTCTCACACGGACAGACAGACAATTTCCTCACTCGAGACTTCAATCAATCAGACGCTGCAGTGAAACCTCATGTACCATTCTTGATTTTTTTGTGCTGCTCGGATGCCAGAAATGAATATTGTTCTGTTTGCAATTTTTCGCTGTTTCGTCGCTTGACTTGTGTCATTGCATTATCATCGAGTTCTGAACCACAATTTTGGTACCGGAAACTTTCAAGTGTATAGCTGAAATACCAAGCAGAATTGACCTTTCAGTTCCCAGAGGCAATCAGGGCTTTAGGGAACACCCATACCTTAACCACGCAAAAGCTTCATTTGACGACAGTGGTCGCGCTGTGGCATGGAGGCAGTTGAGAAGATTCACAGATTGCAAGCTTTTCTGCTTGAGGCAAATCCAACGCCGAGTGCACAGAGCGGCCCTCCAGCTTGCCCGTTGCTGGGTGGCAAGGTATAGGGATACTTGAACAAGTAACCGTCCGTTCTGAAAGGCTCTTGTGCTGCCGGCATGGCAGAGTCTCTGTCTGCTGCATGGTTTCAGCAAGAAGTGTGGTTGAGGCTCCTTGTGGGGCCTGGGGGGCCCGGGACTGGTAACCTGAGGCTCCGCGTGGACGCACCGCTTCGAGCTCATCCTGGCGCCTTGGCCGTGCTTGGTCTCCCCTCACACAACTGAAAAGCCTGGGCTCTTTGGCTCTTGGCTCGAGCATCATGTCCCAACTTGTCAACACGCCCGCCACGGACAGTGCAGGCCGGCACCGAACAATCCAGCAGCGAGGTAGATACAAGTGTGCTGGCACGGCTTTCTTAAGAGCATTCGCAGTGCCTCCCTCCACAGTATTTGGCAATGGCTCTCTGCCTTTGGGCGTTGCTGCTGTCGGTGGCCTGCGGAGTGTGGCTTGGGCTGCGAAGCACAGCGTCCCAACGAACCCACCGGAAGCCTCAGCTCTTTGGGCGCAGGTTCCGTGATCTGGGCTGTAAGCCTGGGAAGTGCATTCACGCAGACACATCGGAACGTGACAGGGCTGACTGGCTGGAAGTGCATTCGTCTCGTCAACAAACGTCAACACTACATTTCCTGTGCGCCTTGTGACCACCCCCTAGACATGTAAATCCCGATAATCCTGGCACAGCCAAGGGATGTTCCAAGTGTGCAGCTCAACAACGGCGTCTCCATGCCAGTGCTGGCCTTCGCGGCAGAGGACCCCCCCAATGAAGCAAATAAGCCCAATCGAGTAGACAAAGCAATTGTGGATGAGCCCAGTGCAATTGTTCCAGGAACGCCCGACATTGAATTGTTGAGATTGCATGCGGTTGCAGTTTCGGTCCTTTCGTCCAAACTAAGTAGCTCTGCAAACGTAATAGGATCCTGGTGAAGGCGCTTGCATCCTAAGTTAAGCCTGCGAGAGAATTGCAGGTCGTCAACATAATGGCAGCTCAGCTAACGCCGTGAACCCAGCAAAACAAAAGCTCGTCATCCGAATCAATCCCGTCACCCTGGATCCTTGGAAACTTCCTTCGACGTTCCACCCTCAAGCGCAATCGCTCTGCAATCTTGTCGTGCCGTTGCGACTGTTACGACATAATGCAGAAAGCCACGCAGAAACCTCCGCCTGTTTTGTGGCGGCCAGGTCTGGGATGCAGGTACTTGTCTGAACGCCACTGCAGAGGCCTTGGCTGCGGGCTTTCGCTTCGCAGCTTGGCCACAGATGAACTGAGCTTAACTTGACCACCCAAACAGGAGAAGCAACAACTCTCGCAGATCCTGAACCGTAAGATGCTTCTGCAGCCACCCTGAGATCTGTCCATCTACCTATCTACAGTTCTACCTATCTTTCTTTTACCTACACGCCTATGTATCCATCTGTCTCGATCTATCCATTTATCTAGCTGAATCGAGCTACCTGCCTTTCTATCTATCTATCTGGATTAGTTCATATTTGTACACACAGAGAGAACTGCTCCCCCGCGAGGCTTTGCTGCCCCAAGATGTGCTGAGCATGGCCTATTGTGCCGGGATTAGGGTTATACAGGGAGGTGCTCTAAGCCGGGGACTAGGATCGCAAGCTGACGGGGTATCCGAACTGTGGTTGATTGGCGTGTTCGTAAAGCTGGACGATGGAATCGGACGATGGAATCCGAAGCCGAACCGATAGGTGCTGAGTAAGCGCCCAACAGCTGGACAACCATGACATTTGACACGTAAGCCGTGACAGTTTAGAACCCCAACCGAAACAAGACCCGCCATCCCACTGCTTCCTCCAAGATCTGGTCTTCCACGCTTGTCGGCGACGATTGTCAGAGACTTGGCTGCTTTGGGCGATGGTTGTTGTACTATCACCTCACCGCAACACCAACTTCCGTAACATTGCAAAGTCCCGTCATACAAAACTTCGCATACACCCCCAGATGTCGAGAATGGACAGTGCTAAAAGGATCATGGGACTTAGTAACTAGGGTTATAATTAGGGTAACTATACTTATAACCCCATTTAGGGTAGTTATAACCTTACTTACTAAGTCCCATGATCCCCCATTCCCTATTATAGAACCCTATAGTACCCTAAAAAGGGACCCTAAACTACCTTACTTACTAAGTCCCATGATCCTCCAAGTGGACCCGTACAAGGGTCCAGGACCCACCCGACTCCCAGACCTGCCCTCCTCAGCGGCTCCGACGTAGAGGTGGAGAGGGCTGTACTGTCAATTCCTGTGTCCGAAGCACAGAGCCTGTCTCTTAAGCTTCGTTGATGTGTCAGAACCTCAGACAGAAATCTTAAACCGCAGTCTTGTGTAAGCAACAAGCTGCAAGGAAGGCGCAAAGCCAGGCGGTGCGGAATTCGGGTTTGCCGCGCACGGAGCTCTTCATTGCCGGCACAGTGAACGACCCCAAGTGCCACTCAGCTCAAGTATTGTTCTTGCGTGAAAGCTCCACTGGTTTTTCTCTAATTAGAGCTTATGGAGATAGTTCAGAAAAGCCGTTCGGGTGTGAGTCTAGGCCTGCGCCTTTCCCTGACTTACGGACTTCTGGCCAAACGAGGCTCAGATTACGCGTCGTGCTACAAGGAGACCAGGGCCGGTGCCGAGAAGCAGTTCCAGCTGCTGGATGTGCCACAGCTGCGTATTGTCGTCATGATGCAAAAGAGAGCATGGCGGAGCAGCCTCAGATCACAAGTGCTAAGACTCTCACTTTGCTGGATTGGTTTCCCTTCAACTCAGCAGTTGCAACATCGCAGCCAAGGAAAAGGTGCTCGACATGCTCATGCTGGATTACCCAGCCGAGAGCTGTAGGGGGATCAAGGGACAGTGGCAGGCCAGCTCCGATTGGTGTCTGGTTGCGTTTACGGGCCAGCCCCGAGTCCTTGAAGTTACGGCCACTTCGCGACAGCGGATTTCGGGATGTCGAGTCTTTCAGCAAGACTCGGTGCCTTTCTAAATAAGGCTTGTGCAAGCATGAGGAGTTGGGTTTTGGATGTATATACTCTAGATGGGCTTCGCGACTTTGCACGAGGCTGGTTGGTCTTCAGAGTTCAGGTGCTGCAGGATTGGTGCAATGTGCGTGTAAAGCCAACCTGCGAAAGGGCGAAAAGCCAGCAGCAACATTCCCACACGGTTTCCGGGAGCATCGAATGCACCAAGACTGGCCGAAAAAGCTTGACGGCCAAAGCTTCTAGTTATACTCATTGACTTGCTTTTGCATGCAGGCCCTGACAGATCTCTACCGACAGACAGGGCGAGTACGAAGCATTGCGGCTGCTTTGCACGCATTGGAGTCTGGTGCCGTGTGAGGCGTTGAAGTTTGAGGTAAAGGCTTATGGTGGCACAGGCATCGTTTTCAGTGCCGTGGCTTTCGTTCTACACCCGTCTGCATCCGGCGAGCCAGAAGCTGCACAGGTGTCCAACTTCAACTTGACGCAAATCCAGTGCGCCACCAGTTGGGAGTTCGTGACCATGGAGCCGGAAGTGCCAGCGGTGAGCTTTGGCCTCGTCCTGGCGTTGCAGGAGTTCGGCTTTCGCATGTAATTCATCATGTGTAAGCGAATGATTGGTTTTGGGGATGTCGAGTACGCTCAGAAAGGTTCTTCGCAGCCTAAAATCCTAACAGTGATTTCAGAAGGGCTTGGACTTCTCGCAAGCGACTCGGCTATGCCTCTGCGACAACGGCACACCAGCACCAGCACTTGCTGCTTCAGAAAGTTCCGGACAGCTTGTGAATTCCTGAACCATCCTGAACCAATCCAGCTGTCTGAACAAGTCCGAACGGTTTGGCAGTCAGGATTGAAGGTCATAGGTGCTCGCCGAGGTTGAAGACAATGTGGGGCTTCGGGCTTATTGGGGTCATCGTTTGACATGTTTCGTGTTTCACCTGGCGGTGCTTTGGCTTGAGCCGCTCAGGAATCAGATGCGATTTGCAGTAGGCCACGGCCATGATCCGGTGGTAGCTCAGGATGCCACTTGGCCTGAGGAACGTTTTGAAAGCTTGTATTGATCGATGCCTTTGGACAGCGATGCTGGAAGTTCAGAGGTTCGCTTAGAAGGGAGCCCCACCCCAGAGATTGATTTGTCCTTCCGGGCAACTTGTGCCCTGCTTGCCTCCCGGCGTCATGTATGCGAAAGCAGGACCACAGACAAGCCACGAGTCAGAAATGGTTTAGGGACAACTCAAGATTCGGTCCAATGGGTCTTCTCGTCTTGCTCCGCCCTCCCTGGTGAAGAAACGTCTTAGTTTTGGCGCTTACGTTCTTCGCTCACTGAGCGTATGCTTGGGCCTGAGGAGAACCATGATTTCCTGTGGTTTTTCAGACAAGAAGCGTATTCTATCTGTAAAGCCAAAAATTCATCCCATTTATGTTTGTTGTCAGCCTGATTGCCGCATTCCACTGTTTTCGGCTTTCTTCTGTTGAACAGCCGTCCGTCTGTAGACTGTGGAAGCTCCACATAAAGCTTCTTTTGCTGCAGCTTGCCTCTTTTCGTGTCGATCACAGTTTTAAGTGGGCCTTGGGGCGAATCCTCCGAGCGCTCTGAGGCGAAGCTGGGCATCCGCGTGCAGGCGTATTCGCCGTTGGCCAAGGGCAAGCTCCTGGTCCTCGAAGTTCACGGAAGCAAGGCTATAGAGTCACGTCGGGCAGCGGGAGACAGGAGGAGTGACAGCCGCGAAGACCTCCAGAACTCGAAAGGAAAGCCTGCACTTCCAGCTGAGGCTTGCCACCGATGCACTGTGCCAGAAGATCGGAAAAAGCCACGGCAAGTCCGCCGTGCAGGCGGCCGTCAGACGGGATTTGGGGCGTTTTGCTCATAGGACATGTGTGGGAATGCTGGCTACACAGAACGAGTCCTGTCAGCGAGGTGGCGTTGAAGTGGTGCCTCGGCTTGGTCCAGGGGCGGGGTTTGAGGCTGTGCAAAGCATATAAGTTCCGCGAAGCGGTGGAGAAGGATTTGGGACTGAGATGGCGGTCTCAGGCAGAACCGGGGCTTTGCTCCAGGTTCCAGGAGGGACCACCGACGACACAGTGATCAGGTTTGCCTTTTAAACGCTTTGAAGGCTTTGAAGCCTTCCTATTCGAGGCTTCCGTTTCTCTTTCTCTGTATGCCATCAACGCTTAGCTTCATTCAGCGTTAGAAATAGAAGCCGGGCTTGAGATTGCGAGCGGGATATGTCAGGAATGCCATGGCGGCTCAGACCGGCTTCTTGTTTAGGATGCACCTCAATTTAGCCACGAGCGCCAAGGATCCTGCAGAGCAATGCGACCATCGCGACGCAGTCCACGAGCCCACAGCACCTGCGCACTTCGGTCGGCACTGCGAAAAATCGCATTTCTGCAGAGACCTTTGCCTTCGGATCGGGAACGCGCCGGTCCTGCTGTCGTGGAGTTGCGGATCTTTGGGTATGGAGGTGACGTTTTCCCACATTTGCGATCGTCTGTCTTCCATGTAGGTTCTGGGTAGAAGAACAAAGTCTTGCAATGTCTTGCCATGGTGGAGGCGGATGATGCACACTTTTATGGCCGGTATGTCCTGTACATGTGGGTGCTTGGGAGAAGCAGAATGAATTGGTGGGCTCGTGCTCATGCTTTTCTCAGTTCGCGCAGTTGCGTATTGGGCTGGTGACAGGAATCGATATCAAATCAGTTTGCGACTTCTGGGACATTTTGCCTGCCAAGCTTAATCATCGCAGATCTATTTCACAGCCTCAACACACAAGCCTCAACACACAAGATTTGCCCGCCTAGGCAGTGACTTGGACCTTTTCGATTTCTCCTTGACGGACGAGGCGACTTGGCAAGGTATTGTTCGAGTTGTCTTCTTGGCTGTTTCGGGTGGGCTGTGAGCTTGGAGGCAATTCGGCTACAAGCGGCTGCATTCGCATGAAGACCAAAGTTCAGGGAGTTGGGCGTCGTAGCGTCGTAGCTTTGAGCGTGTTTCCATTTCCGTTTAATTTCTGGGCGGATGTGAAGTCGACTGGCCAACTAGCTTCCGGATCTCTGGCAATTAGGTTGCAATCTGGTCTTGGCTCTCTTCTACTGCCTTGAGAAACAGGGGCCTTCATACAGTGGTTCTGAGGGTGACTCAGACAGCGACGTCTGCCTCCCAGGAGATGCAGCAGCTCAACGATCACTCACCGGAACTTTTTGTAGTCTGAGTGAGGCATGCGCGATCTGACTGGGCCTGTTACACCAGACTTCGCATGTGAAGTCCTCACACAATCAGGACAATTTAGCCTTGCGGCGTTCTTTCATGTCTACATCTATGTCACGTAGAGTCGTTGCATCTTCGTAGTTCCTTCGACAGTTCTTGCGTTCGAAAAGCATTAAGCCATACCGAGCCGATTAAGCTCATGAGCGAAGGAGGAACAAGAAGTTCAAAGGTAGGCTTAAGCCGAGATCGAGGTCAGGATCTGTGCGCTGAAAAACATGATCGGCTCTGTGCATTGGGTAGAACCTTACAAGAGTCTTTCAAAAGGACTATTACCGAAGCAGCTGTGCTCATGCTCTAGGAAACAGGGTAGATCATGAGAAGCAAGACACCACAATGAGCGGCACTAGCAAATGCACCTCACCTGCCTAGGTATACAGACCCTTTTCCTCTTATGTCTCGCCGCCGGTTTTGTCCGTAGAACGATCACCGAAGGGGTTTGATCCTGGTTGGCATTATTCGCCTCGTTTGTTTCCAGCGCGGAGAGCAACTGGCACCCAGATAGCAGCTGGCAACTGGTTGTCAGGTATGCTCGAAGTTCGCCAAAGAACAAACAGCACTGCTGTGGCCATGTGCAGGACCGTACAGCACCAACGCCATCCGGTAGTATGTCCTCATGCCCTCGTAGAGCCGAAGCAACAATCGTTGATGCAGAAAAGCCCAAATCCTGTTGCGGATGGTCTCTGTGCAGCTTGACCAAGAAGCATGCAGAGTGCGTGGGAGAGACAAAGCAGTGCTGAAGTTGCTCCTTGCTTGTGTTACGGCCTGTGGCTGCGTTTCGAAGCATCAGGGTTTGGATCCGATGGCTTCAGGGACTCTCCACAGGTTTCGGGTTGTCCTACGTTTGCCTGCGAGCATTGCAGAATAGCCCACTGACAACCGATGACACCCTTCCACAGCACTGAACTCCTGGAGTGCTCAACAGATCCGTGCTGGTTGATAGTTACTGATAGTTGATAGATCGTCGTAGAACACGGCCGTTTGTCAATCTGGTGTATGACTTACTCAAGAGCATGTGATATGCATGACCTGTATAGGGCACTTTAATTAAGCCTAATCACCACCGATAGTTCCGGGAGCAGCGGTGCAGAGCCTGGTCGTCGGAGCCTGACCTGGTTCTTATTGAGGTCAGTCTCGTCCTTGGTGCCGGCCAGCCGCTTATGCAGGCACTCACAGCGCGGTCCCCAGAGCGAGTTGTGCACGCTGGGATTTTAGCAATGAAGCTGGTTTCTCCGATGTGCTATAAGTCACAGTAGCGCAGTCCCAGGCCGCCAAAATTAGACAAGTCATGGGAAGGCTTCGGGTGCTTAGTTCTTGAAGTCTGCTGCAGACGCGCCCAGGGAGCTGCCGGGTTGCGCCAATCTATCGCCCGGTTTGACTGCCCGTGGTTTCGTCGATTTCTGTTTCCATGTACCTTTTCATGTTAGCAGCTGCCAATGGTGCAATGCCAAGTGGATGTTTCGCTCTTGTGCATCTACGCCTACGCCTTAGGCTGCACCTGCTTCACCGTGTCAAACGAGGCCCGAAACGACAAGTAGGGCAGGGCTCGGGCTCAGGGTTTTTCCACCCTCCGGCTTCAAGGCAGGTAACAGCGTCGAGGATCTGGCTTTCAAGGCATGTTAAGGCTTCTCAAGATCTAACCAACGGTAAAGCCTATAGCATGGCGAACTTCGGGGTTCGCTGAGGCAACCGGTGTGTCAACCGGAGCTGCAACGAGTTGGACCCTCATTCTGGAGCAGTGCCTCGAAAGAAGTTGGCTTCGCGAGTTCTTTCACTGCAGTGTCTGTTTGAAGTTGGGCTCTACGTAGTCGCATGATCAGAGATGTCCTCAACTAATGAAGTCCTGAATGGCCAGGCACCCGGGAAGTCTGAGAGAGGAACTTCAGTGCCCTTTCATTGCCATCATTCTGAAGCCATCTTCAATCCTTAACGCTCCCTACCCATCCAAAGCCTTTGGAGTCAGTAAGCCCCCGCCTCCTCCCATGTTTCCCGGTGAGGTTTATGCGAAACATGTTCGTCCACGTCGGCTGCCCGATCCTTTCTTCCCCGCTTCTTATGGCCATGCCAGCCGCTCAGGAACAGCTTTCAAGCTTCTGAGATGATTAACCAAACAGCCTCGGCAAAGCCATGTGATGAGTAGAATTTAGTTCCGGATACCCTGATTGGTTCCGAACGTGCGCGCGCCCCCTTTTCGGTTTCTGACTCGAACGCAGAGAGGTTGCTCCGCTGGTCGATGAACAGGATCGTGCTGACGGCTCTTTGGCGTCTAAAGTTCTTTTCACACTTAGATGGCTTTAGATTTAAGCTTGTGAGGGTTTGGGAGTTCCCGACGGACTTCCGAATCGAGTCACAGGCTTCCTCAGGCCCCGAATCCTGAACCATCGTGGATGCCATCCTGACCTGTATCACTCTCGCAACGCTTTCTTTCGGAGGGCTGTTACGGCACATCATCACCATAGAACCCCGAGCTCCAAATCTGAGGCTTGGTGCTTGTAGGTAAGCCTCCAGTCCTTTTGCCCACTGCAATGGCAGCTCAACCAACCTGTCGAGATTGCAGCTTCACTTGTCCCAGTGTTTAGCCAGTCTGTGTAACGACCTGCAAGTTTGGGAGGAAGATCGCGTACCTGTCCCGCCTTTCTGCCCGACCAGCCCCCTAGCAGCAAAGGAGTTCTTCATCGAACACGCGGTGCAGCCTTTGTGGGAGATGGCGAAGAAAGCCTTGGGGCCGCATGGCCCAGCAATCAACATCAAACCTCCCAAGACCGGGCGAGGTGACGGGGTTTGGACTTTAATTTCTCATAATGCCAAGAGGCAAGAACTTGGGGTGCGGTCTCTGAAGGTTTCCGGTAGTGACTATCTTGGAGATTTCGGCTTCGCAGCAAGCTTCAGGCGAATCCCCATAGGAAAAGGGAGATTGACGACTTGCTATGCAGAACAGAGCTATCCAGGACTCCAGCACAATCACGGGGACAAACAAGCAATAGCATCACTGGCAATATTCTCGCTTGGGTGTCGGAGAAGGCAGCCGTTGTAACCTCAGAGATGATCTTTGTTGCTGTGCGACCGCCTAGGCCGGTGGCCACGTTCCTGCAGATCAACAAGGACTGTGGCAGTCTTCAGTCCAGGGCCTTGTGGAGCACATGTGGTTTTGGGCTTTGTTTAGGGCACCCACGGCTTTGTGGATAGGAGTCTTCGAGCTCAAAGGGTAGCAGGGCGCTAATTTCTGGGCTGCGAACCGTTCGACTGGACGGTTCCGTACACTACTGGCGTCCGGGGATGTGCATGGTTCAGTCCTCAAAAATCATGCCAGCACTTGTTGAGCTTTTTGCTGTCCAGGGTTGTCACGACGACCTGTCGTGCGTTGATTAAGTCAGCAGAGGCCTGATGCACTGATACGGCCGCCACCATTCTCAGATCTTGAAAGTACAAGGCCGCAACCTGGAACCGCAGAGACAGACCGGCCCTCAAATCCTACAAGACCTCCACAGAACCACTGCGTGATCATGAAGCTCTGAAGTTGATATCAGGAAATCTTCCGGACCTCGGCGGATGTTCTGAAGACAATTATGCGGGCTGTTCGATTGCAGCTAAGCTGCACCAAGAGGTCTCTGCGGATCTCGCATTTCAAAGCCCGAACACTCTAAACCCAGTGTATCCATCCTGAAATACCTCTTGTTCACGGACTCTGTGTTAAGTAGCACACTCCAGTGCTCCAGAAGGCTATAAGGCTGAGCTTACCCACGAATTCGCCGAAAGCAAGTGGTTCCAACGCAAGATGGAGCGCGGAGGGAAGTAGTGGAAGGATGGGAGTTGACCGATTTGGCCCAGGCTTTTAGGGCGATGGCTTTGGTTTTGTACGTTTTGTGTAGGAAGTGCCTCGCCGACCCAGGAGACAAGATCCAGCTCAGAGCATCGAGACCAACTCGACCTCAGATGATAGGCCGCCTGCCAAGAAGCACACGCTGTCGGAAGTTGTCGGATCTTCTGGACTACCAACGTGGATCAACAAGTTCGAATCCTTCTGATCGATGTAACAGCGCACCATGGCGAAAGCATGGCGTGCAAGTCGACATCAAGGGACTCCGATTTCACTTTCATGTGTTCTGGTTGAAGCCGTCAACCTCGAATGCCACCAACGCTAGATGACTGTGGTTCGGGCAAGAGCAAATGCTTCTCGTGTAGCCGCATTATAGCCTGCTTAATCGCATCCTTGTACGATCCGGTTCGCCCCCAATCCCAACCCTGTAACATAAGGCAATCGTGGATAGAAGCCGCACGGGAGTTCCATGCTACAGCTGCTGCTGACGTCTTGTTACCTGGACCGTTGGCTGAGGTTTCATGGGTTTGGTGTCCAGAATAGGCTTTCAGGTATATTGAATAATTCAGCTAGGCGCATGGGAAGTCTGGACATTCGCGTTCTGCGGTGTGGCTTTAGATTTACAGGCATTTCGGGACACAAGGCTGCAGGAGCCAGGAAGGTGTGAGAATGTCTGGGTTTTGGTCGCTTGCAGACTTGCAGCAACCTGCAGGTCAAATGAAGGATCGCACTTTTTTCCAGCTTCGAGGAGTCCCGCCAAACAGACAAAAAAAACACGCTCGGAGTTTAAGTTTAGGTGTGCGTGATGATGTGGGTTCCAGCACCAGCGGTTTTTGTTCCGGGGAGTTCGGTGTAATGCTTCTGGGTTCCAGAGGTCGCACGCTGACACTAGCGAACACGTCCTGTGTCAAGGTGCACTCTTGAGCCGGTCTCCTGTCCTTCAACCTGAGTTTACTTGCGGCCTTTGTCCAACAGCAAGCCGGCTTCTTTCCGACACCTGGAAGCCTGAAACACCCCCTCTGTGCACAGCCACACGGCCCAAAAGACGGTCACCTCAGCACCCCGATGCCCCATGTATGAATGGACCCAAGAAACCCATATCGCCTGCCTCAGGTCATGCACCCAAGCTATGTCTCCGCAGTAAATGCTTTCCGACAGGTCGGCACACAAGTCCCAAGTGTCAGACACCTGAAACTAAAGCTAAAATCCACCGCAAATCCGTAAAACTTAGACCACATTTTCATTGCTTCCGACTCCAGTTACGCCTTCCTCTCCGTGACCTTTGGCGCTGCCTGGCGGGCCTTGGCAACAGCAGCTTGCACGGTGGAACCTTGATTGAATCCAAAGCAGAAGATGGTGATTTTGGTTTACTAGTACGCGTCCGCGTGTGTTTCTCAACTTGTTCGCATTTACAGCTATAGAGCATATATAAATTCTAGCAGTGCTGAAAACAAGTCGATAGAGACGACATGCGTGCATCTGTCTCTGCGCATTTGTGTGTGTGTGTTGTGGTTGAGGCGGGTCGAGGTTGTACACTCCCAGTCTTGTGTCTTCGAGTCCCGGATTTCAGCTTATGTGTTCCCTGTATCACTTTCCATATCTCTCTCCATCTCTCATTCTCTCGATATCTGTCTCTGCCTATAGGTGCAGGCACGCGTAACGTCGTTCTGCGTGTGTTTGTTTCGAAGACGCAGTCATTGTATGCATGCTTCGTCTGTGCAAACGCGTAGTACTGAATCAGCTTTGCTTCATGTGTACTTCCTATTGCCGGTGGTGCGGCATTATTGCGCTTTACCTCCCCCGCCCACCCCTCCGCTCCACTTTAGCTGTGGTAGAAAGACCGTTTATTTGTGTCGGGGGCAGTAGCGCTTCTGTGCAGCTTGCCGGTTTGCAGTGGAGGAAAAGGACGAGGAGGAGAAGGAAAAGGAGGAGGAGGAGGAGGAGGAGGAGGAGGTTTTGGGACCTCGTATCGGTAATTCGATTCCCTTGTTTTCTCTGGTCGCTCCATCGAAAGAGCTGGCAGACATCGCCAAGCGCCTGCAGAGCCATCGTGGGCTCATATCCGGAGACTGCAAATCGTTCAAAGCCCATGCAAAACCAAGTACAGCTTGAGGCCGAGGGGGCAATCGAAGGGTCTGCTTCTGGCAAAGGCGAAGCTGGCTTTGCCGGTGGTGAACGGCGCGGAGGCCTCGAGTGCATGAGCGTTCTGGCGCTTTTTCCTGGACGGCATATCCTGGGCGAAGAAATTGAGGTATGGTCGTTGCAGAAGCTCTGAAGTTTTTCGGTGGTCACACAACCTGCAACCATCAACTTCACTCGAAACCATGTACGCCTTCTACGAACACTGTCAGAACCTCGAGAACCCTGGAGGGTCCAGACAACCAGCAGATTGCCGTAATTCAGGCTGGAATCAACGCCGCCGCCGGTTACACTGCCACGGCGTGGCAGCGACTGGTGCCACGGCAAGACGATTCGATCATGCATTCTGTGTACAGGAAGGTGGTGAAAATCAGGGCAACGTGAGTTTTGAATTGTTGAGAGGATATTCGTGGCTGGCCTTGACTGCTGGAAGTGTGCAGGTCTCTGGCGCACGGGCTCCTACGATTTGGAGTTCACGTTTCGCTGCTGTTTCAGGTCTGGGATTTTCGTATACCTTGAAAACGTAATAAGTCCTCATGTAAAGCCAGCTTGCAGGCAAAAGATTCGAGGTTCATGATTTCAGCTTTTCTCTCTGCAAGATGCGCAAGTCTCGCTGTATCCCGGATGGCTTCCTCCGACATCGCACGGCCCTGGCATCAATTTATCTAAACACATGAAAGTGTTATCCCGAACCCGCGAGCGAAAGAGCTCAGGCGCAAGTCAAGCCTGCAGACGGAGCGAATTTTATTGAGCAGTGAGAGGATTCAGGAAGCTGTGGAACATGTGAGCTCGTAGGCCGGTTCTGGTGTGCGCTGGCTGTGGGGCACCTCCTCTCAACAGGTTGTTAAACTCGAGCTTGAACTGTCAAGATGCAGTTGCTTTATCACGGTGCGTCTTCCTTCAAACGAAACGGCGGAAGTGGAGTTGGGGACACAAGCAACTAGTCGGGGTGAGACACCTCCAAGCGCCCCGAGGCCACCGCTGTCTCAGGGCTGCTGAAGAAGGGCCCTTCGGACCTGACTATGGACCTGAAAGGCGTCTAGGCGTTAGGGCAAGATGTATAAGCACACTTGGACACATGGATGCCCGCATGTGTTGTATCAGTAGCATCAAGCAGCAGACTATTGATATATGCTGAAGGGGTGAGTTGTAAGGGCAGGACATGGCAGGACGTCCCAAAGTAGGGCCTTGGCAAGAGTGCATCTTCAAAATCCCAAGAGCCGCGCAACTGTCGGTTTCGGGCCGTAAGTACCCTAAAAGGGACCCTAATTGGGGTTATGGTACTTAAAAGTCCCTAAAATAAGCAGTTACTAAGTCCCCCTAAACCCTAAACCCTTATAGAATCCCTATAGATCCCTTTAAAGGAACCCTTTAAAGGAACCCTTTAAAGGAACCCCTTATAGTTACTAAGTCCCCCGTAAGTACCCCCAGGAACGAACGACGTGAGCCTTCCTTTCGTAAAGTCCATGGCCGCTGAGGATGCCAAGGCCAGGACCAACAGCTTAAATCTGTCCATTACTATAATGTACTATAATAGACTATAGTATATTATAATATACTATAATATACTATAATATACTCTAATCTACTATAAGATACTATAATCTACTATAATATACTATAATCTACTATAATATACTATAATCTACTATAATATACTATAATCTACTATAATCTACTATAACTATCATGCTTTGGAGCTTCGAGCAAACCGGGGTTGGGATTGAGATGTCTTGACACTTTGGGAATAGCGGCATTTGCTATCTTGGTCTGTTTGGCAAATCATGCATTGTAGTTAGCTTGTGCTGCCTCGTTTGAATCAGGCTTAATGCACGAGTCTCGAGCACTCCCCGTGGTCGGAGGCACTATAGACTTGTGCATGCCTCCGACAGCCATGACAATGACACCCGGGATCCCCTAAAACCGTCAGACATCTCTTGTCCGGGCCACAGCAACCCCTTCAGGCCAGAGCCGCCGGTACCATCTTCGTGAGATCTAGAGATTCGATCGAAACGGCTACGCCTGAACCCTCAGCTGAGCAGCAGGTAAAGGATGCTGCGAAGAACATTCCAAGCAAGAGGCTAGACGGCATTCGAATTCTCGTTGCAAGGGGCACACTTGAGTTTCAGGGTCTAGAAATGGTTTCGATTGCAGCTCATTCTGCAACCTTTGAGGGTTGGCTGTCGGCGTGGTGCCTACGGCTGTTACTTGTAGTACATCATTCAAATCATTCCAACTGGCCCTGTGACCAGTAGCTCAGCCGGGAGCGAGCTATGCAGACAGAACGGAAGAGAGACAACAAGAAAATGCAGACATAGTCGTGACTTGCATACAGTCCCGCACTATCTTCGACAACATCCCATGAGACATCCAAAAAGGCGCGACCTCGGTGCTAAGGACCCTGGCTGTGGTTCACACGCTTCTGGGAAAAGGCGGCCTGACCAGTACGACAAATTTCGGGTTTTGAGCATTTTCCTGCTGGGGATGGCAGCGGAGCAGGTGAAAGATCCTGACAACTGTAGCTAATAGACCCTTTTGCCGGAAGGAAAGCAGCCTATTCGATGTTTGTTCCTCGGGTTCTTTTAGGGTGCCTTGCGAAGGAGAGTCGCAGCTTTCTTCGGGGGACTTAGTAACTGGTTATTTTAGGGACTTATAACTACCATAACCCCAATTAGGGCCTCTTTTAGGGTACTTATATGTCTACCTACTACCTACTTACTAAGTCCCCTAAAGACCCTCCAAGTGCTGACGAGTGGGAGGCGCTGACAACTTGAGCTAAAGCTCTGCGACCTCAAGTCCAGCCACGAGCTTGTCTAGGACGCCCAGCAGTACCCTTATTCCTTTTTTGTAGTCCTAGGTTCCTTATAAAGTTACCCAATACCAAAAAGAGAGTCCTTTTTTATTCTTAGGTTACTGGGTATCCTAGTTGTACACTCCTGATATCTCGTTGAAAGCCCGCAGCTATAAACCCCAACTACGCAATACTGTTGATGATATAAATCCTGCATAACCTTAAGGATCCTAAAGTATGAGAACTATGGTATATTCCTTATTATGGGTAATGCAGGATTTATATCATCAACCGTAATTCCAAGGCTCCTTGACCATGGCCACAAGCATTGACAAGTCCCTGGACCTCTTCGCCAAAGTGCTGGAAGCGTGGACTTCGATAGTGCTATGCTTTTTGGTATGCGAACCTTTCTGGTGATGCGATTATGGCAATCGGTAGGTTTAGTGGATGAGGTCCTTTGGGGTTTAGGGATGCCTGCAATCCGTTGCACGCACTGACACTACATACGCATGATTTGTAGATAAACTGAGCCAGCTCAATCCGGCAGCTCCGCCTGCACGTGGTCATCGTGTTGTTGAAAAATGGAAGTGTTTCTTCTTCCCGCTTGTTTGTGCCACCTTTCGGTGATTTGCATGATTGCCGACGATCCACTTAGAAAACTTTCTGGCAAGTTTGCTGGTATAGGTGTGGGCTTACGGCGCCCTCCACCGATCTGCCCGGCACATGAATGTTCGTCCATCTGCTACTGTACTCTGTTTATCTTGGTTTGCCACGCTCGGCTTTCTTGATGATGATCCTGTGTGTATATATATATATATATATATATATTTCCGCATTTCCGTGCGATCAGAGGAGTGCGCCGCTTAATTACTTGCAAACTGTGCCCCAAAGCTGCGGAAAGGCTTAGCGATGGGGTGTGTCCAAAACGCCTCAGGCGCATAAAGGACTGGTTGTTGACCTTCGAGGAAAGCTTGCCAAGTCTGTTGCAAGCATCGCGGGAGTATGGACAAAGGCCTATCAAGCACGGCTGGGTCGCCAAGAGCCTCACTACCGAAATCCCACTCAGCTTCCCAGGAATCCGGTAGGTGGAACGAGGAACTCGGTTGGGTCCCGTACTTCTTCACCTTGTCGGCAATGACCTGCTCCCACTCCACAGCATCCATCTGTGCATGGAATGCCTCAAAGGTCTGATCTCGTGCAGTCGGCTCACACAGCTGGGTCTCGCTGACCTCAAGGATCACCTCTGCACATACAGCGAAGATTTCGTCCAAGGTCTGGCGGGTCCAGTGCCCGGTGGGGTCGCTGTTATAAAGGAGCTCCATCTCCGTCTGAAGCTTCTCCAGGGAGGCACAGATCTCGTCCGGATACACCGGGAGGTCTTTCAGGACGGCCTGGATCTTCTCCGCAAACTCAGCCCCAGAGGTCGCCTGGAACGCCACGTCACACAAGGCCTCGTAGAACCGCTTATGCGCTAGCTCCCACGTTGCCTCCGTAGTGTCCTGGGCAGGACTGCCCAGGGCCTGGGGGATGGAAGGCGTGAACTGCGCAACCTCCTGCTGCCTGAACTTCCGGCTGCCAAAGCCTGGTAGCAGATCGCCCTGGACGAGCCCTTGGCCGCGCAGCCAACTCACACAGGTTGGAGACGCTCGCAGGTGGGCCGCCAAGCGGCCACCACTCCAGAACTGCGTCTGGCACGCAGAGCAAGTAGACCCAACCATGTAGTTGCGGTACTCCGCCACACGCTTGTGGGTCTTGAAGAAGTGGACGCTCAACTTGGCCCGGGTGTCAAAGACCTTTTGGCACGGCCAACACTTCCAGGAGCTCCATGTCGTAGCAGGGGCTTTCGCAGGACTCGTCGTGTGGTAGAGGGCCCAGTGACAGACCCCGACCACATCCCGTCGACACTCCAGGCGGTGCTCGGCCTTGAGTTTCTTGCCAACCGCTCGTTTGAACGCTCCAGGGCTATCGCGAATCCGGGAGGCCCATACCGGCCAAGAGGCGGCTTCCAGTGGTGGCCAATGGTCCTCATTCTTGTCCACAAGCCAGTGCAGGTCATCTCGAACAACCTCAAGCCATGTTTGTTCCGCTTGAACAGCAGCCCATAAAAGCTCAGGTCCTGCACATACAAGGGAGGTCAACAAGCTCAGACGAGCACGTCGTGCCACTAATCCCAACTTCCAACACCCCGTGACTGCATGGGCGACCGGGAGAGGGATGTGGAAAATGCGGTCGCCTTTGATCGAGTTGCTGAGGAGTCGGCGGACAAGTCGCGAGTAGGCATTGTTCAGGAGCAGCCAAGCTTTGCCACGTGGAACCCAGAGCCCAATATTGAAGAGGGAGGAGGTCACGGAAGTGGCGAAGAGGCTAGCACGAACACTTAGGTGGAGGTCACGCCTGTTGAGAAGAAGCTTACTCGCCGAGTCGTAGGCTTGTCCGGCAAGTGCCACCCGATGTCGTGCCTCAGCCATCATCGTGTTATTGATGTCCACAAAGCCGCCCAAGTGGCGGTATTGGGGCACCAATGGCAAAGTGACACCCGCCTCCTCAAGCCAGATCTCTGGCTTGCCGTTGCCAAAACATCGCTGCTTGAGCTTGGTGGAGCCCTTGCCTCGCAGTCGTAACATCATGCTGGTCTTGCCCGGCTTCATGTTGGGCACCAGGCCGAACGCTTGGCAGGACGTCAAGACCACATTGGCCAGACGGGTTGCCTTGTATAACAGGGCTTCACAGGAAGGGGCAGCCGTAGGAAAGGCTGAATCATCAGCCCATGTTCCGTCCCACGAGGCCTGGTCAAGCCCTTGCTGCCCGTCGCCGAACACCCCCGCACACATGTCCGCTGGCAACGAAAAGGCTAGGTCCTCGGCTGTGGCGACTTCGAAGATCTGGCAGAGCAGCCGACTGTAGATAAAGGCAAACACAGTATCGGCAAACGATTCGCCAGGGCGCGAGCCTGCGAACGTTTTGCAGACTCGCTCTCCACTCGCAAACCTCGTGCAAAACCACGTGTTGTAATGCAGGTCCTGGATGACCTGCCTGAGGGCCGCCGGTACCCCTGCCTGGCTCATAAAGCCTCCATCTCTCACGATCGCCATGAGATCTTGCAGGGCTTCAGGGCCCAGGTTGAAGCGTTTGAAGATCTCGATGATCGTGGAGTCGCAGCATATGTCGCCCATCGCGAGCTCTCGGATTACAGCATAGTAGGCACTCTTCGTGTCAAGGTAGAGGACGGCGTAGCAGAGACGATGCTGAACGCACTTTCGGATGTGTGTCAAGATATACATCTCGGGAAAGAGCACAGGAGCTCTTTTCCTCGGGCCACAGTGCAAGGGATGCAGCGATGCCTGGGTTTGGTGGCCAATCTTGTCCCGGACAAGCCTATGGTAGCATTTACCAATGCTGCTGCTCACAAACAGGCTTCTGAAGTTCGCCACTTCGCTGCATGTCCCAGAGTTCTTGAAGGCTTCGTACAAAATGCCTCCACGCCACTGCGTAGGTTGCTTCACCAGGACCATGGATTTGGTGAAGAGGGGAAGGTAGAGGGCGGAGAGCTCTGTCGGGATGGTGGCGAGAACTTCTCCTGGTACGTTGTCAAGCCCAGCGGCTTTGCCGCGGGCTGTAGACCGCATGAGGTCCTCAACTTGTTGCTGCGTCGGCAACAGGTCAAGCGACCATTGGACGTCAGCAGCTGGCATTGGGACCGACGCGTGGTCGATGAGGTCCGCTGTTGAGAGGATGTACCCCTGCTCCTGTTGTCCAAAATGGTCAAGCCACACCGAGTCGTAGCCTTGTCGGTCGCCCACCGGTTCTCCACTAACCGGATGTAGTAAGGCCGGAAGTGGTCGCCTCCGTGCCTTGGCTGGGGCACCACCAAGGCCAGCACTTTTCACTCGGCGTAGGATTTGGCCCGCACTTTGGTGCCCTTCAGTCACAACAGTCGTTAGGAACTTTTGCCTGGCCACAGCAATGCTCTTGCTAATGCGGTGCGTAGCAAATCGGATGCTGGCCGCAGCAAGCTGATAGAGCAGACCTTGTTTACTGACCAGCACCAGTAGACCCTGGTCAGTAGCATCTCGCCATTGCCGAAAGGCACGGACGACCAGATCAACCCATAAGCCGACTCGGCCACGGGTCCTGCGCTTCATGCGGAGCTTTGCCTCTCGGAGGTCCCACACGGCATTCGGGATGTACTCAGCCCTGGCATTGTGGTCTCGGCCAAAATGCTCCTTCAAGGTCTTCTGAAGCATGTCCTGGATCATTTGGCAATGCTGATCCGGGGGGGTATTCCAAGCCGGCTGTTGGAAGCCGCGGCAAGCGGCAGTGAGGATGCCCTTGCCCTCCTCCGACATGATCTTGGCACGGTCAAAGACGGGGCGGTGGAGGCGGGCTCTCGGCCCGGTCGGCCGCACTCGGCCTTGAACTTTGAGGCTGACCAGGCGATGGTCCTCTCGAGGCGTCCCTGGATCAAACCCCATTCGGACTTGGCTGAAAACTCTGTCACAAGAGGCAGCCCCTCCAAGAGACACATAGTCTATCCTGTGTTCGCTGCCGGACGGGTGCACAAATGTGCAATCCTCTCCGGGATGGAGGTGGCGATATGTGGCCGGGAGCCACATGCGGGCATGCTCCAAAATTTGGACGAATCGACGTCCAATAGCATCTGGAGTGTCACACTCCACAGGGCCGGTGACTTGGTCAACATTGGCCGGGACCCGGCCATTCAGGTCGATGCCCAACAGCATCACATCAGCTCGTTGCCCTTTGGTGAGGCAGCCTTCGAGTTGCTCCATAAAGTCCCGCCATTCGCTGCCTTTGGCTTCATAAGGGCAGTGTGCCGAGATCACATAGATGACCAAATCAGCAACTGAGATTCGCAGGCCAAGGAGGCGAGGGTGCTCCGCCACGACAACAATGTCGTGCTCATCAGCCAGCATCGCGCCAGTACTCATCGTCATCACACCAAGCCTCCGATGCAGCCAGATAGCTGTGCCCCAATGCCCAAGCGAATGCGTGGACAATCGTACATAGTTCCTGGACTTGAGGATTCCCATCGAAGTCTTGGTCTCCTGCATTGCCACCATGTGGCATTGCAAGGAGTCCAACTGAGCGTCCAAATAGGCTGCTTTATCTCGGAGGCCTTGGACATTGAGCGTGGCAAAGGTGAACTCAAACCAACCAGGGTCACCCCGGGCCGGCTCAACATCAATGGCATTGGTCGGGATAAGCTGGTTAGGGCAGAGGCGGAAGCCGTCGTCCGCAGCCGGGGCCCAAAGTAGTCTGCCCTGCTGGATACACATGGTGCCGTCACGCTGGGCGCGGTAAGCTGTCGCCGCCCAGGACAGATCAGCCTGTCGGAAGTCTGCACATACAGCCAGAGGCGGCTGTCCATAACGGCAGTTGCCCTTCGCCGCCTCCTTGGCAAGGATATCCGTGAGCTCATTCCACGGTTCTCCTGCATGCGCTCGAACGTGGTCCATCTCCAACAACAGAGCAGGTTGCTCAGCAAGAAAGCGCTCCAAGAGATGAGCCTGTTCACCAAAGGAGTCAGGAGCTTGCCAGCGCCCGATAGTGGCGTAGCCTGCCGCTTTGCAGTCGAAGGAGATGGTGCAGTGGACGCTCGGGGCCATCTGTCGGAACTGCAGGAGCCAGAGCATCGCCACCGCAATAGCAACTTGCTCTGCCCTGAGGGCTAATGGCGCCTCGATGGGCCATGGCGTGTTCTCGTTCCCAACAAGCTGTTCACTGACAGCTCCAAAGAGAGCAACACAGGCCCCAAGTTTGAGCAGGATGGTGATGGCATACCCGCTCTGCTTCGGGTGGTCGCTTGCAGAGCCGTCGGTGTAGATGTGCACGCGAACTGGATCACCTGGAGGTCGATTGGCGAGTAGGTCTTGCCAGCCAATCGCTTGGGCAAGCGCCTCTTTGGTGACGGCAGGCAGGTTGAGGCGCGAAGATCTGGGCATAGCCAGTCCATGGGCCACGGGCATGCATCATACCTCCAACTCTCAGGTGTGGGGGGCAGCGAGACTGACTCCACAGTGAGGTCGAACGTGGGAACCGGGAGGAGGTCGGCTAGTGGAAGTGTTGTCCGCGGTGTTCGGTGCGGGGAGCGGCTCCTGGCATTGACGGGCCTTGGTGGCGGAGGTCCAAAAGGTCCAGGACCGCGATCAACATCATCATGCACATCTGAGGGGGAGTCCGAGCCAACATCGGTGCCATCATCCTCGGGGCCTTCATCAAGACCCCCATTCCCGGAATCGGAGTCCCCACTTGGTGAGGGCGTGAGGTCCTCGGAACAACGTAGGGCGACCTCAACCGTGTCTCCATTTTCGACCCAAATGTGGCCTTGGCGGTCGTGGGGCCGTCCTCCATAAACCACAACCTGATATCCCTCAACAACATTGATCTGGAGGGATTCCACATAGTTGCCCGCATGGAAAAGGTGGTTGGTGACGACCACCCATTGGGGCCATGCTCCGATCCCTCGGAGGTCCACAAAGACAACCTGTGAACCTGTCCTCTCAAACTGCTGGTGCTCTAAGACCGCCACGATTGTGTGGACTCGAAGGCCACACCAGTTCAGTCGCCTGGGGCGCTCTTCTGGGGATCGCAACCAAAAGGTTCCAGGGGCCGTTTCAAACTCCCTGATCGCAACAGTCTCTGGCGTTTGTCCATCACCACGAACAGCCCGGTGGAGGTGTTGTGCAGATTGTGTTTGAAAGTCGATGAACTTGGCATCAGCCGCGGTGGGGTGCTCCGCTCGGGGGTTCCATAGACCCGGGTCCTCAAGGCGGGCTTCAAGCTCGCCACACCACTCAACAACTCCACCTCTTGGTAGAACTTGCACAAGAACACCGTTCACCGGCTGCCTAGCCTCTTGTATGCCCAGGGGGGCGAGGTCTCCGCCAACAAAGATATCCACTGCCGCCTCACAAGCGAAACCCAACTGTTTCAGGACAGAGAACCGAGTCAGCGGCCCATTGTGGTAGTAGGCAAAGATTTCTTTGCCAACTCGTCTTGCATCCAGCAGGACTCCTCGTTTGCTGGTGTGGATCACCCAGTCCGGCAGGAGCATGAGGCTGCCGTAGGCTTGGCTGACCTGCGGTCTCGTTGGCACCACGTATTTGAGCCAACTCTGGGCCAGTGCATTCCGTCCATCCAACACAACATCATAGAGCTGGTCCATGTTGAGCGGAAATGCAAAGGCCACGTCCACACTTTCAGGACCACACATCGGAGACGTGATCCAAACCGAGATATGTTGAGCCAGCGGGCGATCACCATCACCTAGACCTGGATCGCGGTCATCAAGCGGCTCTGGAGGATCAGGCGGCCATCTCTCAGGTCCCCAGGGGTGGACATGCTGAGGGAGCAGTCCACCGCTTTGAAGTGGTGCAGCCCAGACAAGCTGAGCCTCCGCTCGAGCCAGTTGCTCCCAAGTTGTTCTGCTTTCAGCTGAGTAGGCTCGTGTGGATCGCAGCCTTGGTGTCGCACAGCCTGTCTGAAGAAGACCAAAAGCCAGGAGGATGCGTGCCCACGCTGGGATGCCGCGGCTCTGACTGCGTAGGCCAGCAAAAGGCCGGCTCCACCAAAGATGGCTCCAGCTCAGGAGGAGCAGGGCCACAAAGGCCACTCCACAGAGGGAGTGGCAAACACCACGCCACCATGATTCAAGGTCTTGAGCATGCGACAGGAAGATCAGCTCAACCTCATTAACAACCTCCGATCCAACATCAAGAAGATCCCATACACGACGCCGTCCACAGGCGAGGTGGTAGTAGAGGGAGCAGGCAATCTGCATCGAGTCGCCCGCCTGTGCTTCGAAGGTCTCCATGCAAAGAACTCCGTGTGGGACATACCGAAAAAGCCCACTTATACTTGCAGCAGGGTTATAGTGCACTCCCTGCTGCTTGTCACCTGTTGCTCTGTCGGAGATCATGTGGGGCTGGTCGCGTCCGCACCACCATGCCCCGTGCCCCCGAGGTTCGAGACCAACTCGTCCTCGTCCTCCTCCTCGATGTGGATAGTCTGCCGCGCCTCCTCCAGTTTTTGACTCAGGGAAGGACCTGTCACAGATGGGGCCGCCGGTGCTCGTCCAATCTCCTTGACAGGTGTTCGCCTCGTGACCGATCTGGATCGTGTCCTCGGGGAGGGAGTCGGAGTGGGCATATGCATTGCCGTGGTCGGGGATGACAGGTAGGGATCCACACGGGCATCGGCAGTCGGTGTTCCAAAACCTGCCGTCTCGTTGCCCTTCACCATTGCCTCCAACAGCGGAGTCGTAGTACCACGCCTGGGGGGCTTCTGGTTTTGCGCCGGGGTCATCGGCATCATCGTGGTCCTGGTCCTCGGAGGAGTGGTCGGTGTAGTCATCACCGTGCGTAGTTTCCGCTTTACCACCTCCATGGCCTCGACGGTCATCTCCTCGTCGCTGTCCACCGTTCCACCAACCAACGCTTCCCATGCCTGGTCGGCCTCTTTGCTGGGCTTCTCCTCCATCGGTTGCACCAGCATCTCCGGGTGTGCCATGGCCTCCTGAAGGTCGCGGAACGCCGCCTTCTGAGCTTCCTGGCTCTCCTGCAACTCCACATCGAGCTTGTGGGCCTTCTTGAGGTAGCAGTCTCGCTCGTGCACGAACTGCTTCTTGAGGTCGGTCTGCAGCTGGGACCACTCTTCGTCCGCTGTAGCTCGCTCTTCGGTGAGTTTCCTCGTCCGCACCTCGGCTTTGCGTGCCGCAGTGACCATCTTCTGGATGGAGCGCACCAAACCAGCAGCCTCGGAGGTCTCCTTCGCCCGTGCTGTCGAGGGCTGTGGGTTTGCTGGTTGACTGGGCACTCTGGTGTAGGAGTGGAAGCTCGGGTCGTTCCACTCGTAGCCCTGTCCATGGCTCTCCCATCCACCATAGGATGGATAGTCCGAGTGCCAGCCTCCATCCTTGGGCTGGCGCACGTTGTTGCTGCCCTTCCACAATCCCCATGGTGACTTCTTGCCCATGAGCTTGTACCGCGGGCGGGTGTGGTGTTGTTCGAGGAGGCGGATGTCTCGCCGCCACGGCTTCTGCCCACGTTGTCGGTGGAGGTGCAGCCTTCGCCTGGCCACTGACCTGCGCTTGCGCTGGTTCCTGTGCCAGCAAGGGGAGCGCGGTATGGCTGCGTGCCTTTGCACTGGGGATTGGGCTATACTTCAGGCGGGCCGCCTTCAGCTCGATCCCAAACCCTATATATATATATATATATATATATATATATATATATATATATATATATATATTATATATATATATACAACAGTGAGGATTTGAGAAGCCGTGCCAGATACTCGACTTCGTTTTGTCGGCTTGCCCGAGTTGGTGTCTCTGCATCAAAACGAAGATAATATTGAATTGTTGAACGGCTTCGTATGCGTGAGACATTGAGACAACGTGCGACATTGCAGCGTTCAAGGTCAAACGGTTTCATTTCATTCGTACCTTGCAGAATCTCACGTCTCCTACGGTAGAAATGTGGAAACAAGTACCTGGGTTTTGTCACGCCTGCTCTTGAAGTTGAACTGTTGGGTTGGAAGTTATTGAAAAGCACGGAATGTTTTGATCTTGCAGCACGCACAGAATCGAGAGCTCCCTTGGTCGATGGCGTGCTGTGGGAGCTGGCTTGCCGGCGGTCGAATCTACATTACAGTCATTGCAGTCATGGTGTTTTCTTGTGCATGATGACCCGGCACCATCGTGTTTTGTCTTCGGTGTTGGATTCCAGATTGGAGCAGGCTCAGCTGCACAATGCGTTTCGTAGCGCCCATATCCTTATGTTTCGACCCGCTAGATGGCGAGCTTCACCTCTGTCACTAGTTTGAAATTCAGAAAGTTCCCAAAACGGTGTCGCCGTTGACTGTGTTTAGCAGTCGAGGTCTGATAGGTCCGCGTTTGTGGATGTAGGCCTGCCTACGGGGCAGCCTCGAGGAAGTAAGGTGATTGAGGGCCTTTCAGTGGATTCGGATTTGTGGTGTTTCGGGTTCACAGGTTTTCACTGGACATTTCTTAGGATGGCGGATATGAATTCGTCTTGTCATTGGGGTTTATAAAGCGTGCGCATCTAGGACATGATCGGCCAGAGCACCATCTTCGTCTACGGCCTCTCCAGTGCCCTGTCCTTCGCTGCGCCTCGGTGACCAGAACGAAGCACGGGCTAAGGCTGCTTGGAGCTATAGGCTAAACTCGTGGACCCGAAATCTACCCAATCACCAGGCGCGAGCTTGCAAATAAATCAACGAAGTACACTTAAAGGGTCATAGGACTAAGCAACTAGAGTTATAATTAGGGTAACTATACTTATAACCCCAATTAAGGTACTTATAACCTTACTTACTAAGTCCCATGATCCTCCAAGCAACCATCCCCCAAGCCTAGTTGCCTTTGAAACCTCGGACCTGGAACCGACCAGGTGCTGCGTGTCTGGCAGCCCGGGCAGGGGGCACCTTGTCGGCATCATGATGAGGATCATGCGGCTTTGAATTGCATTGGATGAAAATGCATACGTAGGGGCTGAGAAGTTTTCAAATTCTGGGATGAGGATCCTGTGCATCCCGGGTTCGGGTTGATGCCTTGTGCCCTGGCGAGACTCCGAGGATTTAGTTTGTACAGACTAGGAGCTTCGAGATTCGGACTCGTCATGTTGGGTTCGAGAATTATGGATTATGTGGGTCATGAGAACACGACGCCCGAATCACAGAACCCTCTGCCCAAAGACGCAGACCCTATGCTTTCAGCCTTTAAAGACCTACATAGCCTCAAGGAACCACCATCAACACCGGAAGTCATGACGCAGTGACTACTGCACAGGCTTGCATCCTGCGCCCAGAAAGTTTGTTTCCAGCGTGGCAGCACACTGGAGACCCGTCAAAAAAAACAAAAGCTCTATTGCGACTCCATTGACCGAAGGATTTCAGCAGCGACCAGCTGATGGCTACTTCCCTCAGCGCGAAGCTGGACGAGGCCGGAGCAAATGCAGATCGAGGGTGTCGGAATCGTTTGGAATGTACTACTCATGTGTTGGAGGATTTGGGTTTGGGTTGCGGCACTGTTTTATTTATGGGTCTCTGCGGACATAGGCACTTGTTTCGTTTTCCAGATGCACGAGCAGGGCATGTAACTGTAGGCGGCCCACTTTGATAGATTTGCAGTTCCTCGGCCGTTGTTGAAGGCCCCATGCGCGAAGCCAGATCCGGGAAACTGAGAGCCGAGCCAGGTTTCTTTGGGAGTCCAGATGCTTGTTGCCTCTGCTGCTACTTCAAGGGCTTTGGGCTAGGGGTTTAGTGAAGTCCAGATGCTAGAGCTACCAGATGCTTGCTGCTGCAAGGTCAACGCAGATGCTTGTCGGGGCAAGAAGCCAGGCTTGCACATCCGTCAGAGCATACGAGCATGTGTGCATGCTCCGGCATGAACGTATGCAGTCTGCAATGTTTGTGCTGCCTTTTCGAGAGCATGTCGATTTTCAACATGCTGCCAGCAAAACATCCGTCAATCATCCCAGCTCTAGATGAGCTTCATGTGCCCACCGTCTCGCCGCCTCAACCATCTCAGATTGTTCCAGGTTCTTCCTGCGTGTTCCTGCAGTTTGCCGGCTTCAGCGTCTGTTCAGAAATAATGATGCACGTGTTGGAAATCTGAATTGTGAGGATGTTCTGATGGGATGAGCCGGCTGATGGCATTGAGCAGAGTAAGGCCCTTGTGCAAATGGGGTGGTGTGGTGGCACTTGATGCGCCCTGCACGCTGGAGGGTCTGAGTCGAGATCATTCTATCCCTCCCAGCCCTCCAGGTCAAGCTCCAAATCCCCAGAGCCACACACAGGGATTGACATCCTGTGCCCGCCCGAAGCCGCTGCTCCATACCTCTGCCCCCCAACCGACGAGCCCGCTTCCCTCACCTCAGGTAATGAGACCGTGGCCCACGGGGTTTGCTGCCGCGGTACCTGTGACGTTGAGCCCTGCACTGCCGGTGCGGAAGAGGTGCTCAGTGGAGCTGTCCTGTGCTTCTGCAAAGACTAGCTGACATAGCAAGACATGTACACGTGTCGAATTACTTGGTCATCCATTTCTGCCTTTGCACCTGATGGGAATCCTGCTTGCAGTGCATCTGCACTACGGTTACAGACCCCGCCTTTCGTCACAACGCTGCGGGCCCCCCCGGAAAGGGCTTCCCTTCCCTTTTTGCCGGAACATGAGCAGTTTTGCGCAACCTGCTTGAATATCGCCTGTCGTTTTGCTGTGCTGTACGTACAGTCCCTGCGGCCAGAGAGGTTGCAGCTGAACAAGAGTTCGCCGTGCAGAACGTGTCACTTGGTCACCTGCGCCGCCAATCCAAGTCACTTGCCGCTAAGGGATGAAACTTTCCTTTGCCGGCATCGTGTTTAGGGCGAGGCTTCATCTTGGCTGTGGTGGTGTTGGTTGCTTGTAAGCAGGCCTCACTTTCCAATCGTTGAGATGTGACCATCCAGTGGTGGAATCCAAACTTTTGCGGCTAAAGACTCACATCCTCCTCGAACCCCTGTTTCAGCTTAAACGTTGTTCTCATGTGTTTTTCAGTGGCAAATCGCAAAAGGGCTTGCTGACACTTTATTCAGCTTCTCAGCGAGATCCACACAAGTATAAGCAGTGGCGTTCATGTCAACGGCGCGTAGAGACACATGCGTGCAGGTGTAAGTGCACACGTGATGTGTGCGTACATGTGTATGTATGTGTATAACAAATAAATATATATATATATGTATGTATACACACATACACATTTATGTTTGTATGCATGCTGCATTAGTACCCACAGTGCATACAAGAATGCAGGTTCCTGTACGGCTTCATCAATCTTGCGCGAAAGTCCTACGGTGGCTTCTGCAGAGACCTGGACGAGTAGCATAGCAGAGCTCTTTGCTTCCTTGGGATCAGACCAAGCCTTTGCAGGCTTTTGGGAATGCGGGAGTCGCACAGGCAGCAGAGAAGCAAAAAAGACCTGCGTGAGCCACACGCTGGATGCTGACTACCGCGGAGGGATATCGACCTGTGTTGGTTTCTTCTAGTATAGTTGCTTAGGCACCAGGTCTCGAGATTATTGGCTGCACTAAGTCCTTGGGATGATTCTCCAAGTTAATACTTGTAATGCTTCTGGTCGTTGGTAGTGTCCTGTAGCTTTGTAGGTTTCGGCGGGTGTGGAGAATTGAGATGATTCCGCATGCCGTGTGAAAGCTCAACAGGGGCCGGGGACGTTTCAAAGAGCGGCTCAAGTACCTACACCTGGGGCAGGCTGGAAAATCGACAACGGCCCTCGAGGAGATCGCTATTGGCTGCCGTTACTTGGACGGTCATGGTTCAGGGCTTAAGACTTTAGAGCTTAACAGGTTTGATGTGCAGCTCATTGGAACGGTTTGTAAACCGGGGCTGTGCACCCATATCCGCTTGTGTGCTTGCAGGTTCAAAGGGGGATGCCGTTCTTCGGTGCTCGTGCTTCGATGCTCGGGTAGGATTAAGTCTGGAGTGTACTGGTCAGCCTTCAACGCCAGACATGAGGAGGCTTCTTAGGAGACCATTTGCCCAGATATCTGTTGAACTTTGTACTATCAAATTGTTATACTATTATATTATTATATTACTATATTATAATACATTGTTACTTGTTATGTTGGAAGAGTGGGGGCTTAGGCTCCGTGTCTGAGCTAATCCTGCACCCTCGTCCCCATCTGCGCCGTTGTCCACCCACCTCGCATTCTCGCTTCATGCCGAAATCTTGCCTTGCTGACAGCATAGGCGGCCTTGCAGTCCGATACTAGTAGCTAGGCAGATAAACAAGTAGTTGAAATGCTTAGATAGGTACTTATAGTTAACAGAGGAGACAGGTACAGAGAAAAGCTAGAGTAGATAGATCAATATTCAGACCGATAGGTCGGCCATATAGGGGTGCATGCTTTCTGTGTAGGCCGTGGGAACCTATGCAACTCACATTCCATTGTAGATATGTGCTCAAACTACAGAGCAGCATTAGCTGAGCTTGCGAGGCCCGGTGTCGAGCGGCGGCCACCCTGGCAAAACCGATGCCCGGTAGAAAATTTGGCTTGGGGACTGGAGTGTCAGTGTAGAGTGGCAGCGTATTGATCGACAAAGGTCTCGAGGGTTTTAAGAAGTTGAGATGTGCATTTGGATTCTTCCGGGCTTGTAGCCCTCATCCAGGGCTTCGGCGTCAAGCGTATGGGTATCAGGTGACTCGGGGTGCTGGAGCTTCGGATTGTAGGACTTTGACACCCGGATGTGTGCCATCGATTGGCGCATGCAGCATGCAAGCAAGCCAGCTTTGCCTGCTGCCACCCCGGGCTCACCATGAGAGATATGAGAGCCACACCAAGCCCAAGCAGACGACCCTTGCAGCCCTGAGGAAAGGACTACTTCGATTCGAAGCTTCAGGTGGGACATACACGACTCTTTGCAGATTCTTTAGCTGACTTTGCAGGGAGTCCAGCTCTCCGTCTAGGTAATACGATAGCTTGAAGCCTCATGCCATCCCGCAGCGAGGGTGCACGTCGGGGTGCAGGGATTTAGAGAGCGTGTGAAAGTAGCCCGAAACCCAGGGAGCTCTCGTCCCAGAAGTAGAGCTGACGGACTTGGTCCTGTCCTGTACTTTGCAGATCCGGATCCCTCCATCCCTCGCGAAGGGATTTCATCGGATTTCACGTCGGGAACCAGGGGTAGGGTCCAGGTCGGACGACGTCGGGTCAAGCGGCAGAGGTTCTGAGTCGTTCCGGTTGTAGAACGAGCTATCTGCTTCGCGTGCCTTGTTTAGGCAAGCAAGTCCTAGGCACGGCAAGTTTGTAGCTTTCCACAAGGTGCAGCCGAAAAAGCCACGTCAGCAATACCGTGTACTGTACCACTCCGAGTGCAAAGTCGCAAGTTCAAGCAGCTCAACGAGATGGGCACCCATGCTTGTTGTTTCGCCTCGGCAACAGCCACTTGTCTGCATACCATACGTGTACATGTTATGTATACATACATCTGTATGCTGTGCATTCACGTATGTGTCTCTGTGTATACATCTATATATATATATATGTACATACATACATACCTACATGCATACATATGACAGTTTGTTGCGTGGAACAATGCAGAAAAGCCGGGGTGGACAGACCCGGCGACTCGATCGAACTCTCGGTGCCCCGTGTCCGGCTCGTGGCCTCCGTAGCATAGGGGCCTTAAAAATGACCTGTACTATTCTAGGGGTTCCTTATCACAACTATAGCATCATATATACCCAGAACCCTATTCAAATATTTATGCAGGCCCGTATATTCGTCCGCTTCGGAGGTGGTTCGGCACCTGCGCGACGAGGGCAATATGGTCGTGGAGGCTCGGGCACAACTCGAAAGAAGCTTCCCATGTTGCTTCGAGGACGGAAGTTTCAGTCTCCAAGGGTCCAAGAGGGTTCAGAGAGGGCTTAGAGCTCTCAGCGAGTTGAGAATTGTTGAACCATTGATTGTCGGGGCTTTTTTTCGAGTAGCCTCGTACTTCTGTGTCGGTGCTTGTTCCTCTTGATTTGAGTACCTGCAAGGCGAAGCGCAAAAGACCTTAAGGTGTTGCACCCTGGACTAGCACTCTATCCTCAATTCAGTACGCCCCCACCATCCCGCATGGCCTTCAACAGCTCCGATCAGTAAAGCTTCCTTGGCAGGTCGGTGCCGACGACATGTCCCGGGCGGCCGGGAGCTTGGTTTTCCGTAAGGTCGGAAGGGCCGCGGTGGGGATATCAACTGATTGTATGCTCTAGACGAGTAAGTCGGGAAGTGCGCCTGTAAAGCCGAAGGCCTGCGACCGTGGAGTAGTCACCGCTCCATACAAGCAGACAGCCAGTGGTTCAGCCAAGCTCGGTCTTTCAGATGTTGTTGCATGGAACAGAATTCTAGCGAAAGCACAGCCCAAAGCCAACTCTGATGAGCTCTCCAACATGATCTGCTCACTGTCCTTCACGCCGGAGGCTCCAAAGGTGCCGAAAGTCCGGGATCCTACGCCGAAGGCGAAGGCTCCGAAGGTCCGAGAGGAGGCCAAAGTCGCCGCGGCGAAGGCGTCCACAGGCTGGGACCGACCGAAGCGCGCCCCTGGCTCCTGCCTGTGCTTTGTGTTTTGGAAGTCTCTGAGCCTGGCGCGCTTTGGGGGGAGTGCATCGAGCCGTCGGTAGGAGTATGGGGCTTAGCTTAGAGGTGCTGTCTAGGGCTCCAGACTTTAGTCGTCTCTCTCTCTCTCTCTCTCTCTCTCTCTCTCTCTCTCTCTCTCTCTCTCCCTGTATGATGTGTGTTTAGTGCTTCTGTACGAAAGCATGTATACATGTGCCTCTACACCTACTTGTTTGTCCGTCAATTCAGCAGGCTTGAGAAGTGCGGGGCTCGATGGTTTCGTGCCTGAGACAACTGTCAAGAACAGCGAATTTGGCTTCAGATGCGCTCACAGGGACGGCTGCTCGCTCTTGAAAACCTTGCAGCTCATCACAGCTACATCATTGGTTGTTTTCTTGTTCACGTTTGTCATTGTGGCGGACGTATCAAGCACACTTGCAGCCTGCGGGTTGGTGTTGCGGAGATTGAGTTGACTCACGATACACATGGTATGGTCATTTTGCTGGTGGTATTGGCATGGACAGGCGAAGGATATGAAGTCCCGATTTGCCTTGACCCGGCATCCGTACGGTGATGTCTCTTCTTACAAGTGGCCGTGTCAAGAAAATTATTCAGAGCTGAGTGCCATACATTCAGATTAGACACTTGCTTGTCTTGCTTCTCGATCCCGCCCATGCCGCTCCCCGACTTACCTAACAATCTCCAAAGGTAGCACCGAAAGATGTTCACAGGTTGGACGATTTCGCAGGTTGTGTTTGCTTCAGGGGGCTAAGTCCTTGACTCTGACCAAGTTTGTCCCTCAAAGTCCGAAGTAGGACTGCGCCGAAGGCCCAAAAAAGCGGCCACCACCCGCACCTGCGGCCCCAGAAAGCAGGACTGCTCTGGTGTCGAAGTGTCAACTATCCGCACGACGTATTGCACGTTCTAAATTCTACATTTTATCTGCAGAATTCGGCCTCAACTATCCTCCTGGAAAAGAATCCTCGTGATGGCACTGGCATAGAAGTTTAAAGATGCAGGGTTTCGCATCGTTGGCTGGTGCATGACTTGCATATAATGTAGGCCGGCCGGTCCGCGCAATATGACGCTGGAAGTTTTGTGACCCCTGACTTGCAGACAATCTGCACGAAGGAAAGCTGCGAAGACTGGGTCCCGCAGTGAGTGGGGCAGGCACGGGTGCTGGATAAATCAGCACTGTACACTGTACACATGTTTCCGTGTCGCTGGATTGCTGCGGCTACGGTCCTGGCATTGGCTCTATATAGGGCGAAGGCTATCGAAAGACCGAAAGTTCGGCCACCTGGGCCTCCAGTCTCCTGCGGCTCCATGTTCCGACTTGACATGAAACATGCGACCGCCACGTGTAGCACTTGCCTTGAGCTCTCAGCAGAGTCCCCCTGCCAGGGTCTGGGCCGAACTGGAACAGTCGGGCTGGCGGCTCGAGGAGGCAACTGCAAGCGGTATAGGCTTGAGACGGCTTCTGAGAGACAATCCTCAATCTCGCGACCTTTGTCAAGTTAGGGATGTATTGAGGCTTCCTGCTTTGGATATCCAAGATTAGCTAGTGCTCGCAGTCTGGACCAGCCGTCGCAAAGACTGCTCGGATGACGCACCGCGCAACGTTCTGGCATCTTCAGCTTGAGGTTGGCGGTTTCGTCACATTGGCGAACAAAAGCGTGCATAATGATTGTCGGATTCCAGACATACCTTAAGCCTTGCCTCCTAAGCTCCGCAGCTTTCTTGGTTGGATGTTTTGCTTGAC